TCACTTTGACCCGAGAAATATTGTATAGTGTGAGGTTTGTGAAGTTCTTTGGCTGGGAAAGCAGCTTCCTAAAGCGACTCGAGGCAGTTCGCAATCGGGAGATCGGTTCCATCAAAAGACTCTTGTTCGTCCGACACGCTGTTGTAGTGTGCATGGTCTCTTTACCAACATTTGCATCGCTGCTGTCTTTTGTCACATACGCTCTGTCGGATCATGGCATGTCCCCGGATCGCATTTTTGCGTCCTTGGCATTGTTCAATGTGCTTCGCATGCCACTCATCATGCTCAACCTGACTATCACACAGATGACTGATGCTTGGACTGCTATCAACCGAATCCAGGAGTTCCTCCAGGCCGAGGAAAGGTCTGACCCGGTCGAATGGGATACAACCATGGACAAGGCTATCGAGGTCGAGCATGCATCATTCACCTGGGAACAAGTGCAGAGCAACAAGGGAGAGAAGAAGAAGAAGGAAGAGAAGCCGAAATGTAACCAGCTCCCGCCGAAAGTCGCAACGCCCAGCAGCACGCCCGACAACCACAGTGATACAACTGAGCATGCGCCATTCAAGCTCACGGATATCGACTTCAAGGTGGGGCGCAATGAACTGCTTGCCGTGATAGGAACGGTGGGTAGCGGCAAAAGCTCGTTGCTCGGGGCTCTGGCGGGTGATATGCGCTTGACGGAGGGCAAAATCCGAATGGGTGCGCCTCGATCGTTCTGCCCGCAGTACGCCTGGATCCAGAACGTCTCAGTGCGAGAGAATATTCTCTTTGGAAGTGATTACGACGAAGAATTCTACGACCGCGTGATCGACGCATGCGCTCTACAAGCCGATCTGGAGATTTTCCCGAACGGGGATCAGACGGAAATCGGAGAACGAGGGATCACGGTCTCTGGAGGCCAAAAGCAGCGAATCAATATTGCCAGAGCCGTCTACTCCAAGGCAGATATCGTTCTCATGGATGACCCTCTTTCAGCAGTTGATGCCCATGTCGGACGCCATATCATGGATAAAGCAATTTGCGGTCTGCTCAAGGATAAATGTCGTATCTTGGCAACCCATCAGCTTCATGTCCTTAGCCGGTGTGATCGAGTTATTGTGATGAAAGAAGGCTCTATCGACGCGATTGGTACCTTTGACGATCTCGTACGAAGAAATGAACACTTTAGGGAATTGATGTCGAGCACCTCGCAACAGGAAAAGCAATCGGATGATGATGTCAACGAAAATTCTGATGAAGCAAAACCGGCGAAAGACCAGATTGACAAGGCTAAACCAGCTGCCGGTTTGATGTCAAAGGAAGAGGTAGCGACGGGGTCAGTTGGGTGGCCCGTTTGGAAAGCTTATATCACCGCCTCTGGATCTTTCTTCCTCAACTTCATCGCTTTTCTCGTGCTGTTGGCCTGTCTCAACTGTGGTCTGGTTATGACCGGCCTATGGGTCTCTTATTGGACGTCTGATAAGTTTCAAAACCTGACCACGGGCCAGTATATGGGAATATACGCGGGAATCTGTGCAGGACAGGCTTTGGCTCTGTACGGCTTCGCACTGCATGTGACCATTGCCGCAGCGCACTCTAGCAAGACAATGCTGCAGCGCGCAATATACCGAGTCCTGCGAGCCCCAATGGCCTTCTTTGACACAACCCCCTTAGGACGAATCACAAACCGGTTTTCTAGGGATGTCCAGGTGATGGACAGTGAACTTGGCGAATCTATTCGAATGTTTGCCTTCACGTTCACTCAGATCCTTTCTACGATGGGGTTGATCATCGCATTTTATCATTATGTGAGTACCATAGGGTGAGGTGCGTGTAATGAAGTTGCTAACCGCCATGACCAGTTCGCTATTGCATTAGGTCCCCTGTTTGTCTTGTTCTTACTCGCAGCAACCTACTATAGAGCTTCCGCGCGGAATCTGAAGCGGCATGATTCGGTGCTTCGCTCAACGGTCTTTGCACGTTTTGGCGAGGCCATCAACGGTGTCGCCAGCATCCAGGCGTATAGAATGGAAGGGTACTTTCAGCGGAATTTACATGAAAGCATCGACTCAATGAATGGCGCATATTTCCTGACGTTCTCCAACCAGAGATGGCTCTCGATTCGCCTTGATGCTATCGGCAGTCTACTGATCCTGGTGGTGGGAATTCTAGTCGTCACCTCTCGTTTCAACGTCGGGCCAAGTATCTCCGGTTTGGTATTGTCATACGTTTTGAATATCACTTTGAGTTTGCAATTCACTATTCGACAATTCGCTGAAGTTGGGAATAATATGAATGCCGCCGAGCGGATCCATTACTATGGCACCAGCTTGGACGAGGAAGCGCCCCTTCAGCTGGCCGAGGTATCACAGAGCTGGCCCGAGAAGGGGAGAATTACGTTCTCGAATGTGCAAATGCGGTACCGTGACGGGCTGCCTCTGGTGCTCAAGGGACTCACTATGGACGTTCGGGGCGGGGAACGTATTGGCATTGTTGGGAGAACAGGCGCCGGCAAATCAAGCATCATGGCCGCGCTATTTCGTCTCACCGAGCTTTCCGGAGGAAGTATCAAGATCGATGGCATTGATATTGCCACTGTTGGGCTGCGTGATCTTCGGACCCGTCTTGCTATTATCCCACAGGATCCGACGCTCTTCCGGGGTACTATCCGCTCGAACCTGGATCCTTTCAACGAGCATACAGATCTGGAATTATGGGCAGCGTTACGCAAGGCACATCTCGTCGGCCAGGAGCTACCAGAGGACGAGTCGGAGGAGGGCACTCTTACACCATCATCGATGAACGAAAAGCAGCAGACCGTGCAGCGACTGCACCTTGACACAACCGTCGAAGAGGAGGGACTCAACTTCTCACTCGGCCAACGGCAGCTAATGGCTTTGGCGCGTGCCCTCGTTCGCGATGCCCGCATCATCATATGCGATGAGGCAACCTCGTCTGTTGACTTTGAGACAGACCAGAAAGTCCAGGAGACGATGGCGCAAGGGTTTCAAGGCAAGACTCTACTTTGCATTGCTCATCGTCTGCGGACAATCATCAACTATGATCGCATTTGTGTGATGGATCAAGGTCAGATCGCCGAAATGGACACCCCTCTAGCGCTATGGGGGAAGCCGGACGGCATCTTCCGCAGTATGTGCGATCAGAGTGGAATCACCCGGGAGGATTTTGGAGCTTGATGAGATGATATGATTCGGAGTATATATTTTGCTAAGTTCATGTGAAAATCTATACTGTCTGATACTTTGCGATAGTATCCATAATCTGATAGAAGTTATGAGCTCTGACTTGTCTGTGTCATTAGTGCAAAGCTCATGCTTTTGCTATCAGTCACACATCCTAAGCTGCAACAACTAGATTCATACAGCCTTTAACCTTGTTTCATGCAACTAAGCAGAGACTGATATGTGACGCTGTTAGCTCCTCTGCCGACCTTAATAAAGCTCTATAAATATCATCACTGCACATGCAGATTCAGAAAGTAAGCCACGATACTCAACGATAGCGCAAAGATGATAGAGTACTAGAGTGAAACAATCTAGCACATACGACCATAGGGTGTGGAAAACAGGGCTTCCCGTCCGCTCAGCCGTACTTAAGCCACACGCCGGCCGGTTAGTAGTTGGGTGGGTGACCACCAGCGAATCCCCGCTGTTGTATGTTTTTTGTTCACCCCTGAGGGTCATGACTTATTACATAGGACCTAGGTCAGAGGTTTATCTGCATAGCCCCTGAAAATCCATTGGTACTGCAGGAGCCTGCAGGCGTCGTGTTATGTGATGTTTAATAGCTGATTTATGCGATATACAAGCATCTACGCCATCAAGTCCTCGAGTTGCAGGCATCATATCCCTCGAGCCGACGGGTGATATGGGGCCATACGGGAAAAAGAGACCTTGTAAAGTCCCGATTCATTGTAAACTGATGAAACAGAATAGAGAGCTGCAATTCAACCCCCTCTGAGACCCCCGGCCGTGTTGTTGTAAATGTTTTCAATGTTTACCCATCTTCCAAATCTGATTTGAGCTTGACGTCGCCCGAAAACAACCGCGCCCTCCTTGCACAAACGAACCGTATTGGAATTCGATCTTGAATCATCCGGATTTTCTGATTGAACTTCCTGCATAAAATCCATCATGTTCCAGCAAGTAGACTGGCTCCGATCATTGTGATTGCACTGAGTGAACGGGTCCCCGGTGAGATGCCAGATATGCTTGGCTGATAAACGGCATATGGGGGCAGTAACTGACTGACGGGCTCCAGACCTTTCAGACAACAGTTCAATGCTCCTCATTGTTGCTGCTAGCAGGTCGAATCCCTCTATTAGTCTGTTGCAAGGTGCACTGGGTTCAGTTGCACGCCCTCCTATGATAGCATCTCCAAGGTTGGAGCAGAAAAGACAGCGGACCTCACTCAAAAGGGAGGTCCACCCAAGACCCTGTTTTTCGACTTTGCGTTTCTTCAGATCAGCCAAAGGAGAGTCCATAACAATGTCCATAAATTCATAACCATACACCTCCGAGCCGCGCGGCGGATGTATCGTTCACTGAGAATCCCATAATAAGGTCTCTCATAGTGCACTTGTCGCTGGGTGACGTCTCTAAGACTAGATCCCCGTTGTTTTTCAACAGTTCACGGAGCACGAGGTCACATTGAGGACTTGAATCAGCTAGAGGAATGGGCAATTGCCGGCAATTCTCAGGGATTGATCTCTAGTATGCGGTCAGCATATGGTGGAAAGCGGCAAGCAGTGGAACGAGCCACGCACGCTTTGTAGTGAGGTCATAGAGAACGAAGTCGGATAATTGCCCGCTTACTGCAACCAGCAGCTTCAGCCATTTGAGAAGTAGTTAGTTTCCCGCTGATCGACATATCGTGGATAAGATCAAGCGTTGATTGAGCTAAATTGGGAGCCATTTTTCTGTTCGCAGCATGTTATACTACAGATCTACGGCCGTCCTCTTCACTTTAGTCCGGGTCGTCTGCCTGAACCGAACCTAGAGACTCCACAAGCGCAAGGCTCCGTCAACATCGGGAACAACAAGAAGCCTGGAGTCCTTTGAGCAGACCATCTCTCCGCGAGGACATTTGGCGATCTTATCATCGGCACTCCGAGTAAACTGCTGTTTGGTATTAGTCTTGAAATCATACACCTCGACGGTTCCCTCTAGTATCCGGAACATCAGCTTCTGCCCTCCATCGATGAACCGCACGCCTTCAATAGTCGCATAGTCTTGCATCATCTCATCCTCAAATCCCAGCGACCATAGCTGGAGTTGTTTCATCCCCGCGTACGGGTCCCAGATGCCAAGTGTGCCATTCTCAAGCCCCCCCGCGAATAAGGCCCCATCCGGACTCCAGGCCATGGAGCGCATCCAGGTGGGGATCTCGAGCCGAGAGATCGCCTGTGCCGTCGTAAGATCGTAGATATAGATCGAGGCCGGATCTCCCTGACTCACGGCCAGATGTTTGGAGTCCGGGGAAAAGGCGCCACACCAGAGTTGGCCATCCAAGGGCCCGAGGATGTGGACGGCGTCGCCGGAGCCGATATCCCAGATCCGGGCGGTGCCGTCCCACGAGATGGAGGCAGCCAGCGAGCCATCCGGGCTGATCCCGATCCACATGACCGCATCGGTGTGGCCGCGGAGCTCATGTCGAAGGGATCGGCTCTCCACATCCCAGAGATTGACACTGGGTTGGGACTGGCATTCACGACTATAGGCATGGATCGTGATGTTCGGAACGACATACACCATGGTTTTACTGTCGGGACTGAAAATCGGACTCCCGAAGGAGCCCAGTTCGCCCGGAAACTGGTGGAAGCTGCCGTCTGCTGCTGCGGGACTGTCCACATCGAACGATGATGGTGATTGTTCTGGTTTGCCCGTCAAAGAAGAAGACACTTGCCTCCCGTTGTGGTCCAGCCCCCAGATCATGATGAACCCACCCACCACGCCTTCTTCTTCGCTCTGCGATGCCAACAGATATCGCGCGTTACCTGAGGAGCCCTGGACCAAGCCCGGCGCGAAGAGGACGGTGACGACCTCCCCGGGATGTCCGTGCAACACCTCGACTCGCTCCTGGGTTCCCACACGGAAGATCTGGATTTCCTTTCCGATCCCCACCGCGACGAACTGATCATCGGGGCTCAGGGTAGGCGTGGTGGCGTCGCCATCGAGGCGCACTTTCGCCTTCTCTTGCCCCCAGTGCTTGGGATGACCGGCAGCCCAGGTGGCCGGCATGCCCGACGAGGACGTGAAATCAGAGCGGATGTTATAAGTCCACTTTTCGAGAAACTTTTGTTCGTCCATTTCATTCTCGCTTTCCTCAAAGGGCATAGAGTCCTCCTCCACCCTTTCAGGGGAGCTGGTCGATGGGGACTCGGTGACCATTTTTGAAAGGTCGGTCGGTCTGTGGTGTGGATAAGCGCTTTAGGGAGAGGGGTGTTGTGAGGCACGAACAGAAAACGGCAAAATCACTCTTAGGTCGGTTGCTTGTTATTCGGAAGAGATAGAGAGAGAGAGAGATGATGGTTCGATCGAAGTCTTTACTAATAACTTTATGCTTATGCTATGGCCGGCTGGGTCCGTACGCGAATGCTTAGCTTCACTATTCTTCTTTGGCGGAGTACCGAATAGGCTCATGGTCCAAGGGATGACGCGTCCCCCATAACTAGTATATACCTCGTGCTCTAGTGTTCAATAGACCATCGGTATGACTCACATGATGATTTTAAATGACTCTTTCTTTTTCGGTACTATCGCAGCTTGCTAGTAAGTCTATACGTAACGTAATCTTGAAGGCTTGATTGGCTTTTAAGATATGGAGTATTATCACTAAGCTCTTGAATGTTTTAAGCACATCAGCACTAAGACCAAATGCACTGGTGGGCCTACTAAAGCTTGATAGTTAGGTCTCCCAAGACACACCATCAGCGGCAATAGGAGGCAATCACGTACCGGATGGTGGTATAGTTCTTCCAGGTTCATCTCTCGCTCGTCTATACGACGATAATGGGGTCGGAAGCAGCACGGTATACTGTAATGAGCATAGACGGAGGAATGGCGATCGAGGTATAAAATCCTCTGTCTACATTGACCATCTCCCTCTTGACATCAGATTGTTTCAACCTAGACCTCGTGTTCGTATCTCTTCCCTCCAGCTGACCTCTTCCGCTGAGAAACTACCTACTAATTACAATGTTATCTAAGCATATATAGCCCTTTGCCGTCCTCATATCTGCGCCGCTCACCGTGGAGATATAAGAATCATGCGACCCCAAAAATGGCCAATACTGCTCTGCGCGGCTGCGTCCGCGTGGATCCAGGCCGTCGAAGCAACAGATGCTGTGCGCAACATCACCGTCCTGGGACCTACTGCCCTCCATCAGCATACGGCGGATAACTTCCTTACCTGCCTCAATGCCACGGAGATCTCATACCGGCTGTACGTGGACGAGGGCATCGCCACCGTGCTTCCGCCGGGGAACCGCACGATCGACTTCAGCGGCGTCGACGAGCGTCTCCTGGAATGTATGAAGATGTCGACGGACAAGGTGTCCATCGCCGCCGAGGACACGACCGAGTACAACGAGAACCATGCCAGCAGCGTTCATACGGTGCAGGTCACCTATGCCTGGCTCGTCGAGCAGGGTGCTGTCGGCCTGCATGCGGTGGGGACCCGGCTCGTCAGTCTGGAAGAAGGTCTGACTGCCCGGGAGGAGGATGAGGAGGTCAACGCCGCCGGTTCGCAGCTGGAAAAGCGGTCCTTTTCTCACTACAGCGCCTATTTATCTGACTTCCTTCACTGTCCGTCGGATGATGTGCGGATCTTCAAAAGCAACAAGTGTCACAGCTATCAGACCAAGTGGAAGAGCGTGGAGTATTCCAACCTCTCGGGGGATCTCTACTTGGAGATGCAGATCTGGCCCCATCACGGGTGCCAGAAGAAGCAGCAAAAGAAGTTCGTCGTAGCGCCGCTGAAGACGAGCGTCTGCTATAACCGGAACACCTTCTCCTTTTGGGGCGAATATGTCGGCACCAAGAAGAAGGCTTATGCGTGGCTGAACCGGGGATCGGGCTAGATACGGTTTTTTTTCTGTGACCTGTGGAACAACTTCTGAGTACACGTTCAATCCAGCTTGATCATGCGATGAGCTACGGTAGCTAGGATGCCCTCTTGCAAGCATCAGATGTACCATGCGGAAAGATATATAGACCCGTCATACTATTGTATTACTGTTTTATCCGCAATTAAACAACTCGAGATAAACAAAAAGCTCTTGTAGATTCGAACAGGAACCGAGCCACTGAACTTGAAACCGAATCTTCTTACGCACATCGCGTTGGCCGCTCCCTAAAAGAAAACATGTTGTATCTACGCAATAATCTGTATGTAATGACTGCTAAGCCAGATCTAGGACAAGTATGCCTTGCTGCATGTTATTCTTTCTAGTCACCCTCATTTCTCCACTCTATTTCCCTTACCCAAGTTTTCCATACAGTTCACGTTCTATCCCTGAAAGACAATATCCGGTGAAAAATTCGACTCTTAGCATCTGGCTATCCTCTGCCCTAACCACGAGAAGCAAGCTCCAGGACTAAAGTTTGTGACAACCCTAACCTCAGACCAAAGTCTTAATGAGAAGAAGGTTGAGTTCCCACCAGCCCGTAATAATATCAATAATAATAATCGTCGCGGGTTTTCCGTTCAAGTGAGACTAGGCACTCTACGACCACCATAGTCTTTTTTAGATGTTAACGCTTTCTGTAGTCGATTGCGTAAGATAGATTAGACCCCACTCTTCTAGATCCTGGTTTTCTCTGTAGTGTATGTAGAAAAGTACGAATAGTCGCAGTATTGTGTCGACTGAATACCTAGATAATTTGGAATACAAATATTTTCACTTACACCGTATACACAGACAACAGGAGAGAAAAGTATCATCATAGTTGTAAATACTGCTGTATCTGTCTTCACCATCGACACATATCGCACGGGGATTGTGACCTTCAATTGAATCCAGGCATAGAAAAGTCCAAAGACTGACTGTGGGTGGAAGTCGTCTGTTCCGAATTCATGTCCGGCTCGCTCGCGAAGGCTGTGCTCACTAGCTAGACTATCTTTTGCTGTGGAACTGCTTAATCTCACTAAGATGATATCGACCCGTGATGTGCGTGCTGTTGCTTATAGGGGCTTTAGTCTGTCACCAAGGTCTAGCATTGACTCTTTTGGTTCAAGCTTATTGCACTACAGTAGTGCTGACCGACAGTTCTTATGAAAGATGTTTGAACGCTGACATTTTCTTTTTTGGAAGCGAGCAGGCCCGGGTATAACTACATCAAGAAAGTTCCTTCCTCCTTAGTCTTTATCCCCTTCATCCTTCATCTTTGTTTCAATTTCACCCTTCGCAATGCTTCGGCTTCAGGTCCTGGCAGCCGTCGTCCTGGGCGCCGTGGCAACCGGCGCGTCCAGCGTGAGCACCAAGAATATCACCTTCCAGCACAATTTCGCCACGGAAGCACTCAACGCCGCTACCCCGTTCGTCGACCTGTCCGAGTTCGGCTACTACGGGGGCCAGCTGCCCAAGATCTACGCCCTGAACCAATCCAGCCGCGGCGTCGATTACCTCCCCGAGGAGAGCTATGCCGAGTTCCTGGCCATCGTGGCCGGCACGAACAACGCCACGGCCGAGTTCAGCGCGCAACAGCAGGAACTCCTGGGGCTGTCGAGCAGCAACAGCAGCAGCGACAGCAGCAGCAGCCAAAAACGGTCGACCACCACCAACACCATCAGCATGCTCCTGCGCAACTCCGCGGGCAAGGGCAATGAGTTTTCCGTGGCGGCCAATCACAAGATCTGCCATACGGGCAGCCACGCCCCCTGGCACTATATCGTGGTCTACTGGATCAAGGAGGCGTATATCACGTTCTGGACGAGTACGAAGTGCAACGGCAGCAAGGGGAGCTTCAACCCTGTCTGTGACTACTACGACGACCCGTCCGAGGTCTGTGTCTTCAACTTCAGCCCCAAGTCGTTCCGGGTCTATTCGGGTTGTCACCATAGCTACGGCTGGGGGGATGGTTGTTCAGAGCACACGCTGTGAGGGAGTTTTGGGCTTTTTCTGGGGTTTCAATTAGGAGATAGAGGGGACGGGAAGAGCTGAGCAGTGGTCTATTCGGCATCTGGGTTTAAAGAAAATTGAATTGTATAATTAGAATTTCTAGTATTGGTTTATCAGTGTTGCTTATATACCGCCCTTTTTTGATCACAAACCAGATCTTTTTACTGATTATATAACTGACTATATACTCCTCCAGCCTTCTCTAACAATGAAAGTCCTACTCTGATAAAGGCCCGCACATTATTTCTGGTGGCGAGGTCATATCGGTCTTGAATACCACCAATCTAGCTTTCCACTGTGGACCACAGCCTACCAACAGTAGGGAAACCGCCTGCTCTTTGGTGACGAGAAGCTAGCTCACTCACGTTATATGGAGGGATTGTACTTCCGATCTTCCCCAGATTTTGTCCATAGTAGCTTTGTATTCTTTACAGGTCATAGTCAGGATAATGACAAATTCTTTTTTAATATCTATCAAGCACCCCTAGTTACACCAAGCCCAGATGAGAGAAGCGTGAGAGAGGTTGATTCAGGCTGACTACTGCAGGCTACTATATGAGCATCTTCCACCAATGGGAGGCAGGGATCCCGTCAGCAGATGACTCCGTAGCTTCCTACTAAGTAGTTATACAAAGGGCATAACTACACTAGGACTTAGGAATAGGTACCTAGACCTATTCGCTTTGTACATATGCTCTACTAGGTTGGGCCATCGGCTGAGGGGGGATCTATGTCAAGCGGTTACAGTACAGACTATAAGTAATCGTGCAACTGCAGGCAGCATAGATTCTTTGTGGCCTTTCAGATTGAGATTATAGACATAATACTCCAAATCCGGTATACTTGTATTTTATCAACTTGGATTCAGCGATTGATACATTTTCAACCTCGGGATAGTCAGATGTAAATCAACAGCAGGTCGAGAAAGCAGTAGAAAAAACCATGAGACTAAGAAAAAGGAAAGGAAGATTTTCCTACTGAAGTAAGAAGGCTGAAACCACAGTTTTTGTAGAAGCTCGATGTTTGCTATTCTGTTTACTATATACCAGTTATTGCTGGATTTGATATGTGAAATTCAGTTGTATAATAAATGTCCAGCTTATGTCTGGGGAAGGTGGCTAAGCTCTCTGATCGTAGCATGTTTGACGTTTGGTACTACATGCCAAGTTTTATTGCATCTAGCGCATCTGGAGCCAACCATCAGGGCTGCAATGTCTAATTGAGTCTACATGAACACGAATCATAAAGTCAAATGTAAAGGCTGTGAGAACGCAAAGCTACTTTCTCAACCGACTTGCGCTGCAGATGACAATAGTCTAGAAGAATGGTCTGGGCGGATTTAGCGGAAAAGTGGAGAGACTTACCCCAGACTTCAACCCCGCGTTACAGTAGATCATAGTGTGGATCATACGTCAACCGTATTTTGAGGAGGGCCCGATTTGTATGAGCTCCTGATAACTACTCCGTAGCATATTTTTATAAATGCGCCAAGCTTGATTTCCAGGAGGGCCCGATTTTATATTATACTTGAAGGATACTGATCGAGTACAGTTGAGATACTGTGTGGGTCCTCCTCTAGGCTTGCCATTGAGGTACAACCATCAGAGGGTGGAGCCGAGCGTGGAGCCGAAAGAATAAGAGTGCATTATTGACTGTATTGCTCTTGTCGGAGTCAGGTATCTTGTTGTCGACCTACATACGACTGTAGTACTGTACTAAAGGTGAGCATGACGCGTGGCCTGATCTGGAGAATTGAGGTATAAAGTGTGGGATTTTCCTTCTGACACGTCTACTAGGAGCATCATCTATTGAGCGGTGCATAGCCTTACCTGACATCAGCAGCGTTGCTATTCTTTCCGTCAATAACTCACAATGCACATTCCGGGTCCATTGAGGTTGCTTCGCTTGTCGATGGGCATCGCGATGGCGGTGTCCGCGACGGGTGGAGCATCTCTGCATCTGCCTCGACGCATTGCTCCCGACGCGTTGGTCGACAGGAGTCCGTCAAACAGCCACTGCTCCCGACAGTGCATGACGAACCTCGTCACCGAGATCCTGGATTCCATGGTGGCGCACAACCCGTACACCCTGCCGTTGGCAACGGTCTACAAGGCGACCGAAAACTCGCACCCGGCAGCGCTCGCCATGATGACGTCGTGGCGCACCATCACCGAGGCAGGCGCGCCCAGGCTGCTGGCAATCGACACCAAGAACGGCACGGCGTACTTCGCCCTGGACGTTAGCGAAGGCAACGACGCGAAGGAAACGATCCTGCGGGGCCGAGTCAAGGTCGTCGACCGGCTGATCACCGAGCTGGAGCTGTTCATCAACCGCAACCGCGGCGACCACGGCTTCTCCTTCTCGGCCACGGAGCTTGCGACGAACTACGCGAAGTTGATGTCGCCGCCGGCGAATCGGAAGAAGGCGAGCCGGGACGCGTTGTATGCCCTGAGCGAGGCCCTCTTCTCCTCGACCAGCAACTTGTCGGTCCCCATCGGCGACGACTGCCAGTTCACCGAACTGGGCTGGAGAGTCATCGACGCCGGGACGAACGGGAACGGTTCGACCACCCCGCTCGGTTGCAGCTGGCCCGCCGATCACCCCACCGACGCGAACGCACGAGTGGCCCTGGTCGTCGACGAGGAGTTGGGCTTCGTTGTGACCAGCGGCATTGTGCCGGGTACGGTCTACCCCTACTCGAACGTCTCCGCCTTCATCCCGAACGCCATGACTGCGGCGCAGGAAGCGCAGGTGGTGTGGATGGAGGAGATGGAAGCCATGGGTGTTATGCCGCTGCTATCTCCCTTCGGAGCCACCGGTGACACTCTCGAAGTGCTCCAGTTCTACAATGGCGCGCTCCAGGCCATGCAGATCAATGTCTACCTAAGCGGCCCGAATATGACATCGCCCTGGGTGTAATAGATGTTGATGCGATGTGGGGGTTTGGTCGCATTGCAATTCCTGGATCCTCTTCGTCGATCAGCGATTTTTGTTGGCTATGATATCTCCCTGGCTATGCGGGTTACCTATCTAGGAGTATAGTAGGGTTGCTGTTGGTTTAGTTAGCTGCAAATTCCTTCTTCAGCCAATCTTCCCCAACGACTAGCAGCATATCCCATAATACAATGAGAGGATGGATTGCTTTTACCTGGCGACTAGCCATACAAGCATTATAATATTATAAATCGATATAGATACGAAGATAGGACAAAGCCTAAACAGCAACCTGAGGAGAGGGCGCAGGCTTTTGACTCTTCTCGAGCCTTCGGTGATTCACTCGTGTGCGAGCCACAGCGCCCTGGCAAGCCAAGCTGACCTTCAGCCAGTCATTTGGCGTGGCCAGGTGCTCCAGCGAGCTCCGCATGCGCACCACACACTCGCGATACAGACAGTTGTTCTCGAAGCGCCAGCTGCACAGGAGGGCCCGGAGCATCCCGCCCTCGCGGCCACAGATCAAGGCCACCACGGGTGGTCGTTCGGCAGCAATCACCGACACGGTCCAGTTCCCTGTATCCACGATGGTGAACAGGCGGTGGCCCGGAGGCACACCGAGGCGCTCGGCTTCGGCCGCCCAACCTCCCTCGCCCGGGACTCTGCCGGCTCGCATCGTGACATGGCGGAGGTTTTTGGAGAAGATGGTCGACGAGGCAGCATAGGAGAACCGGTTATTGTCGAAGCCACAGATGGCCTTCTCGATCTCGCCCAGGGGCATAGTTCCTTCAAACCCGACCAAATGGCACGAGACCCCCGTGTATCCGCCGTTGCAGAGCTGTCGCACCGCCCACGGACTGAACCACGATATAACCCATCCACAGCCCATGAACAAAGCCACGCCTAGGAGATACATGGCCGGCTGGACGTCGTTCGGCCGCCGCTGTGCGCGATCGTCGCTGTTATTGGAGCTGTTGTCGTAGGGCAAGACCGAGAAGAGGAGCGCAATTGCGGACGCGAAGAGGCCGAATCCGGTTGCGAGGAACCAAGCGCCGCAGTACACGATCTTCTGCGAGATGGTGGCCCGGAATCCATTGAGGTCCTTGACATATTTGATTTTGGGGAAATCCTTCCACCGGATGGGGATCGCTCGACAGCGGTCCAGGATGACGGTGGGCGTGAAGGGGTCATCACCGATACCCACCACATCGCACATAGGTTGGATGTCCCAGAGATGGACCGCGTATTGGTCGCGATCCGCGATATTGCGCAGAAGCTCCTCGCTGCCGGCCACAATGAGGTCCTGTTCCTGATCGTTCTTCGTTGCGGGGTGCGGCCACAGGCAGGCCAGGCGCTCTAGCAATCGGTTGCTATCGTTAACCAGGGAGAGCCGAGCGATGGCTTGAAAGGCGTTGTCCGAGGCATTGGGGGTGATTCGATAGGCCAAGAGACCCATGGCGGCGTAGGCCAGGTCGGTCGTCGTGTAGCCCTCGGTCGACTTCCCTTCGGCTCGCTCCGCAAGGGCCTGGACTGCACAGGTAAACAGCTGCAACTCGGTCAATTTGGTTGAGTTGCTGTAATGATTGATGAGGTGGCCGATCGCCTCTTCATGTTGCTGCTCCAGCCTGCGGTCTTTCTCGTCGTCATCGTCGTCTTCCTTCCACGACTCGGGGCTGGACCCGGGCCAGAAGCTCTCGAGCATATCGGTCAATGTGAGCTCGTGCGGTCTTGAGGTCACCTGGCTATCGGATCCTTCTCCCGCTGCTGGTGGAGAAGAGAAACAATATCGAATTTTGTCCGCAGCGAGTAAAACCTCCGGCAAGGTCCAAATGCGCGCACCCCAGATCTTCTTGTGCTCCGGATCGTCATTGGGCAGGACCACATACACGCGCTTTGCACAGCGAACGGCATCACAGATTGTGTGGACATCCCTGGTTCTCTGCTCGTCGCTTGCGTGCGAGACACAATACACGTCCACCCAGAACGCCCGCACCGGCTCTTCATCTTGTCCGTGCTCATTCTCATGAGCCAGCAGGCCCTCTGCGACCCGATCAAAAAAGGGCCGCAGGGCCTCGTCTGACTTGCCGAGGAAATTCCCCCGCGAGAAACTGAGGAAAATGTACGGGGGCAGCAGGCCCGTCTTCGGATCACGGAGGTCGTTGGTCTTCTTGGCCACCCACTGGCCTGTGGCCGCGTCTTTGACCACCAGCCGGCGAGGGATCGCCAGTCGGGCGACCTGCGACTGCGGCTGGTCGTTGTTCGGCGCCTGATCGAGCGGGTTGACGGCGTGTTTGGGCCAGTACCACTGCACGTTCTCGTACTCCGCGTACGGCTCGGTCGACCCGTCGTCAGTCCACGGCGCGGTGACAATCTGGATGGAGAGCATCAACTGGATGATCCACGCGAGGAGCATGGTGCAGACCGTCGATGCCAGGGCATGCACGGTACGTCGACAAAGGTCTCTCATCACCATGCCCCAACTCTTCTTCTCCTTCTGCTTCTCACGGGGGATCGCATAATCTTCGTCATCGTCATCGTCGTCCCCCTCGTCATCATACTCATACCCAAGCGGATTCAGGCAAAACTCCGCCAACCGAATAACAAGCGGCAAGTGGCCCTTGATCTTGCGTAGACCCCAATGCCGAGGCCGAGGATCATTATGGGCTTCTGGGGTCGCCTGCACAGCGAGCCGGCGAGGGATCTCCTTATTGGTGCTGTAGTACGTGTCGAGGTCGGGATACTTCTCGTGCGAGTTATCGCCCTCGGGATTTCGATACCGTCGCTTTCTGTACACGCCGCGGGCATCTTCCAGCTCTCGCATGCGATCATCAAGCTGGTCTGCGGTGATGGCTGCTGGTCGCCGGAATCTCTCTCTCACTGACCATTTGCCATTGTACTGCGTGGCGAGATGGTCTTTTGCCCTGTCGGTTCCCATGAAGGGGAGATGGAAATGCTGTTGCCCGTTGGTGGTGGGAGACTGGGAAGATGCCGCCATTGTCTTTTCCATTTTTCTTTCGTTTTCCCACCCCTGTCTTTGGGTGCGCGTGATTCTCTTCCTACGGATTACTTCTCAGTGGCAGGCATCACCCGTTATATAACATTCAACTTCGCCTGAAGAGAGCTGACCCTACACGAGGCTGTCCCGGCCTCGTGCGCAATTGTGGAAATTAATCATCCGAATCCTCTTTCACAGCTGACCAACGAATGCTTTTCCCAACTCGGTAAAGGATATCCTCAGAATCATTTAACACCCAATCAGCGCAATACATCCCGTGGTATGACAGGGATCTGGACGCCAGTGCGCAGAGCCTACTCCGTAGTAATCCATTGTTATGGAGCATTCAGTGAAAAGGGGGGTCTCGAACCGCACAAGGCAACGTCCGTGTGCTCCCGCTAAGCCTCGCCCTCGTATTCGATCTGCGTCCCAGCCGTCCCTTACCCTCCATAACGACGTCTGCCGCTGCTGGAGGGTCTGTCAACGAGTCAGTTACACTGCCGATCCAGCGCCGCAGTGGTGGACTGAGCTTATGTGTCATATATTATTCGGTTAACATTACGACTGACAACTGTTTTAATTTTACTGAGTGAGATTTTGGGGGCTGCAGGCTAATACTACTCAGGACTAACGTCAGGCTCGAGTTGTGTCTAATGCAGCCTGATAATTCTGATTGCAGCTGAAAGCTGACGGAGCCTGACTCAAGGATGGATATAAACTCCTAAGGTACATAGACACATGGGAATGTTTATGGTCACGATCATAATCAGCCATGTATCCCTGGCACCAGCGCCTGAACACCTGGGCCGAGGGAACCGGCCTGCGCATCGACGCCCTCGGCCTGGTAACGCTGTTGGGCGCGGAGGAGATGGACCGCATCACGGGGCGGCTCGTCCCGAGCCACTACCTGGACTACCTGCCTCTCCTGGGCGCCTTCGTCGTGGCGGGGAACCGGTTCACCTCCAAGCAGTTCGGCTTCACGCTGTACAACATCTCCGCGGGGATCGTGACCACCGAGCTGGCGGGCTGGTTCTCGCGATGGCTGCGCACGCAGGACCTGCGTCAGGCGCGGAGTGTGATTACCTGGGAGGTTGTTGAGCAGCCACGGCCCTCCAGGTGGAAGACGGTCCTGGTTGGCGTGTTGCTTGTTGCGGTGCCGGTGCACGGGCTGCTGATTGCGTTGACGGTGTTGACGGCGGACTGGTGGGGGTTTGCCAATGTGATGGCGATGGTTGTGTCTGTGGTTGTGCGATGTTTCCTGGTCGCGCAGAACCGCGCCGGGATCGATGCCAATGTCCGTCGAGCGCAGCAGGAAGCGCGCGACTACAAGGGCAAATATGACGAAACGAGGATGAATCGAGGGAAAGACAAACACATGGCCATGCCCGTCGAGCCCAAGGACCCCTCCGCTATCGCCAAGGTCATCGTGGTGACTGACGACTCGAAAGCCGTCACGATTGCTGCGCCCGCACATCTGATCCAATTACTGTTCACGACCACCCCGCGGGTGCCGAATCATGGCATCTACCAGGCGACCCGGTTCTTGGGCTGGGTCGCGTTCGGCGTGCACGTCGTCGCGATTGGCATGTCGGCCCTATACACGCAAATATGTACGGTGGTGGTGATGGTCACCGCGACCATCCTAACCGCCCACAAGTTTGGCTGCGATGATTCGCACATGGGGAGGAGGATTTGGAAGGCATTTACAAGCCGCAAACGCAATGATGATGATGATGAAAAAGAGGACGGGTCATATACTTGCTGGGTGGGCTCGAGGTTAAAGGCGACTGTCTCGTCCTACCCGGATTGGTATAGCGAATGGAACGAAGACCAAGGGGACCCCAAGCTACCCCAGGTGGTGCAGGTGGTCGAGGAGAAAGGTGGAGGGAGACGAGCAAGAGCCGTCCTTGACCTGGAACGTGCTCGTCCTTCCCCGAAAAAGAAGAAGGTCGTCGAGCGCCGGCAAGATCTGTATGCTTGGTTGGGTCTGACGGAGGAGGAAGAGACGCACATGACGGCTTGGGGGTTGATGCCCCGGAATCGGGAGTGGACGAGTGTGTACTTTGAGAAGAAGATGAAGCATCACAAGCGAATGGGTCGTGCTGGGACGTAGGCTGAAGATGGTTTAATGAATCTGACAACGTCACTTGACGAAATACGGCGAAGACTTGGCTAAATGTACATGTGGGCGCCTCAAATGAAAGCAAAGGGTAAATGCAGCGTCGTGGAGCCTTGAAACTAGACCTGTTTCAAGAATATTTCCACGCTCTAAACTGTGCCGTTAAGGGTAAAGAGGCATCGCATAAGTTACAGAGCAACCACAGCATCCGGTACATCAAGCCTCTCAAGAACAGTAGGATCGAAATCTCCGCCCTCAATGTACTGCTTCAGCACGCCCAACATACTCCTCTCAACAACCACTGGTGTGCAATCTGGCAGATTCGTCGTCGCACCCATGACCCGAGCAAGATACCCCAGTGCACATGCCAACGCTCGCTGGTCATCGTGGACGCTGCCAAGCAATGCAGGCATATACGTCGGCTGAACGGCTGGCTCATCCTTCGAGCCCACAACATTAAGGGCATTGACCAGCGCCTCCCGGGTTGCGTTGCCGAGAGTCCTCCACGCGGCCTCATAGCGCCGCGCGGTGTCCAGCGACGTCACGCCCCCCATGCACAACACCCGCATCAGGGCCCGGTCTTCTCGATCCTCCTCCACATGAAGCAGCCGGAAGCCCGTGGTATGGAGACGATGCGCCCGTCGCGCCAAGACAAGGTCATACCCACTGCGCACATCGAGTGTGCCAGCCATGACGCCCTCGCAGGCATCATAGACATCGCGGTACGCGTCGAAAACCGGCTGGGTGAGTGTTTTGGCACAGGTCCAGTCCAGGTGGCCTGCCGCGCCCGCAACATCCAGTAGCTGCTCCATGAAGCGGAGCTGGACGCTGTGGCGGTGGTGAGGGGCCTTCATCGTCTGGAAAACAGACAGGCAGGCGGGGGCGTTTTCTGCCTGTGCCAGCTGGCCAAAGTTGAAGGAGGCGCCGATTTCGATCCCGCTGATGAGATGGTCACGGTCTTGCGGGGCGGGGAAGTGAGCCAGCGCCGGGATGAGGCTCCGTGCGGCCGTGCATACGTTGAGGAGGACGGCGTCGTGGTTGAGAGTAGAGATGTCTTTCCCTGTCAGGACGCGGTAATTCGATGCGAGCTGGGCGTCCTTGCCTAGATCATTGATGACGACGGAGGTGATGAGGATGTAGAGATCGTTCGGGCCCTTGATGGCTTGGGCGTAGAATCTCCGGATCCAATCGAATGAGGACATGGATAAGCGGAGCTCTGGAGACTGGGACCCAACTAAGATCTCATATTCTCCTGTGTAAATCCATCGTAGGGTCAGGAGTGCTACGAGCGTCCGGTTTACCTCGTCGTAGTTCTGTTTGTACAGGAGGCACGAGGGCGACGTGGTGTTGGGCGGGGTTGAGGGGCGACGCGGCCGAACGGAGTACGCTCTCTTGAGACGGTCGATCTCTTGGGAAAACTCCTTATATACCAGGCGCAGGAGATCCTCCTCCGGAATGGTGAATAGCGAGTCCGGATGAGCGCAGGCTGCCCGGAGCGACGCAGGTGGATGGGACATGGTAATTCCCAGCGGCAAACTCCTAAATTGGGAATTTTGTGGTCAGCCAGTTGTATCTTCAGTGTGGTCTTTTACGTTGGTATATATGTTATATACGTATATGAATATTCCTGCTCGAGGTAACTGAAGCCACACTGGTCACTACTCACTAGTATGAAGACTACGATGGATCGGCAGCAGATCTCTGCGGGGTTGTTGCCGTAAGAGAATCTTGGAGACTTGGACATAAAGATGTGTCCAGCTTCTAGAATCCCCATCCATCCAATAGTCTCTGGAAAGCCTGAATTACTCCTTATTATGTATTATGGGCATGGCGCAGAGCATGTCAATCAATGTCAATCAAACGAACGTCATAAGACTTAACCTTTAGTAAGGGGAGAAGCCAGAGTCTCATCCAGCCTTAGCACCAGGTGATGAGTGCAGTCACAGAGGAACATCCCAACTCACATGATCTGTCAGCTGCTAAGTCATTTATAATCTGGCCCTGACCACCAGGTAAAGAGCTTGTTATCCCTATATGTGATCATCCTCAAGCTTTATATCATGATAATAATGTTTTGCCTATTATACTAACTACTTAAGTGTCTCTTATTCCAGTATGCTGCTTCACCAGCGTAATAATCTTCTTAATCTAATTTTGTCTTCTTAATTTAGCTAAGAAATTCAAGGAGGAGATAGTGCTCGTAAGTTAACAGGTTTTACTACAGGTTAGGGAAAACCAGGGAATGCACCTTTACCATCCTGTAACTTAGATGAATTCACTGGGAGTAAAGAAAGGGGGGTATAATTAGCTTAGCCAGCCCAGCAACCAGTCAAGGCTGACAGCAGGAAAGGAAACTGCAAAGTAGAGATGATGAGAGGGGGGAGACGCAGCCGCAATTTCTGATGGGAAAAAAAGGGGATGTAAGCCATAAGACATGGAGAGATCAACTCAGCTCAAACCAAGCATCCCAGCAGCTTTCGAAACAAAAAAGTCCTTCCCCTTGATCTTGGAAACCAGAATTCCCCAAGGTTTCCATCCGAACATCTGACCCGTGCCCGTACTTTCTCCAATCGGCACAAGCATCATGATAGAGTCATTGGAGGAGTAGGTAGCAGCCTTTCCCCAGCCAAGGATTGCAACCTTGAGATTGGCCACAACCACTGGGACCTGCTCTGCAACTTTGATTGCCGTGCGCACTGGTTGGACGGTAATGTCTCCGAGCGCGTAGATCGAGCCATCCCCTCCCGTAACACGCAGTGTGTCGTCTACCTTGATCCAGCCATCGGCGGAGAGAAATTCTGCGGGGACAAACTGGTTGTTGGGGATCACCCCCGTCGTAGAGATGTACACGTCTGCTTCAAGCTGCTCGCCGTTGTCCAGGCTGACAACCCACTGACTTTTGTTGCCAGAAACGTGGCGCACGGCGTCCACCACCTTGCGGGAGGTAATCACCTTGACGTCCTTTTCTGCAAGGACCTTCTCCGCCATAATACTGGCCCTTTCCTTTAACCCGGGCAAGACATGTTTCGACGCCGAAATGAGAGTGACCGAAGCGCCCCGTTTATCTTTAAAAGCCTCTGCAAGCTCGCCCGCAAATTCGACACCCACCGGGCCTGCTCCACCCACGACGACACTTGTCGCATTGGAGATGACCTTTTGGATCGAGCGAATGGAGGCGTCGATATCATGGTCGCCGAACGGCTTGAAAGGAGCCGGCTCCCCCTGCAGTGAGGAAGCCGTCGTGCTGCCGGATGCAATTACGAGATAGTCGTAGGCAAGGACCGATTGCAGCGAGGAAACCTTGACTGTCTTTGAGGCGGTATCGATGCCGGTTGCTCTTCCTTTGATGAATTGAAACGACTCCCTGGGGTAGCGCGCAAATGCTTTTTCGATGGGGAGGAGATATTGATTCGGCTGGAAGAACTGGGGCTTTGCGAGAATCCGCGGAGCCGCAATATTGAAGTAATGCTTCTCCGACGGATTGATCAAGACAATCTTGACCTTGTCGGAGTCTGTTTTAAGGAGCCCATTTGCAACTCCAAGTCCAGCGTGAGAGGCGCCGATTATCACGACAGTTGCTCTAGCCATTCTGAAGAAAGTGCCGTGCGTTGTTGAGGGGAATATCGGAGATCAAAGAACAAAGGGATTGCGACGAAGCGCACCAGAGGTTTATTTGAAAAGGATGGAAAAGGACGGAATGAGGATTGGTGAACCAATTTATAAGAGGGCTTCAACTGCTTCATTATTATTAATGGATACTGGGTAAATTCGAGGACTGTAGAAGTGTAAGCCGATTCAGATTGCTGATTGTTGATTGCTAACGGATCCATTCCTCACTAATCAGGGCTGTTGGATCGTCTTCCGAGTCGGCCGCGGGCGGCCGCCCTGAGGCCCCTGACAAGGCCCGTCCGCCGGTTTGTCCTAGCCTATTTTTTTTCATCGGATTGTAAAATCTCCAGGTATCGTTCTAACAAATTTATGTAACTGGTTAGATCTTCATTGACTACTGTGGCCAAGCACTTGAAGGAAAGAGGAGAAGATAACTTACTGGCCAGCATCCATCGCGTGCTGAGAGCTCGAAGTGACTTGATGAATATCGAACCCTCCCAGTCTTCAACGTCGGCGGAGAGATCCATCTGGCGAATAACCTTTTGTCCCAAAGCCGCGTAGTAGATGGCGCTGATCACCGATGGCGGTATTGAATCAAGACTGAGGCTGGGGTTGAAAGTCACCTCCTCCAGGTCATTACATATCACCACCATGGCATGACACAATTCCTGGAGCTTCAAGGTACAGACGTCATCTCCGGTCGCTCCCCCGGAATCCTGGCGGAAGGAGAGTAAAAGCGTCAATGCAGCCCTAGTGATTAATGAAATGTAAGCTGAGAGACTGACTGATGGCGAGTAAAAAGAGAAAGAAACTGACCCAATACCCGTTGCAAAGCCTCCACCATATCGGTTGTATAGAGAGATATTATGTCGCCTTCGTATATGTATCAACATCTCTTCCAGCTCATTGTATATCTGGAATGCTTTCTCCATTCGTATGGTCTCATCCGAATAGTTTTCGCGGATCAAATCTTGCACTTGGCCAAGCTTTCTAGCCGCGTTTGCCTCAAGGGCGTAGTCCCAATCACCTTCGCTGTTACCACTCGACAAAGGGGACGACTGAATGGCAGGGAATGTACTCGGCCATGGTTGGTACTGTTGCGGAAGGGTCTCCTCTGGAGTTGGATTCTCCACTGCAGCTGGTCTAGGTGGTGCTAGTGGCTCCATATTGATATATCTGAATGAGTAACAGTCAGCAAGGGATGCCCCTAAAGAATAAATGCAGTGGGGAAGATATGAACCTGTCTACCACAACAATAGCCCACCAAGTGCGATTTTCCTCTTCGACCCTACTTTGAATTTCTTCTGTTGTGATGGAAGGACAGGGTACAGCTCTATGGAGCCCGAGCAGGTAAGCTAGCCTCGCGCATGTTCCAATGGTGACGTATGCCATATCCGTGGCTCCTTGAGCGTGTTCGTATAAAGCTATCAGAATCCCGGCTTGAACCAGCTCTATCGAAGGGCAGGATAGCGACAGGAATAGGGAAAACTGATATTTAGTGGTCAGATACAGATGGGATTCGGTGGGCGAGGATCCATCCTCGTCGTCGAACGGATTAGAAATAACAAGTAGCATAGAGAACACCAGAAGTGTGGATGCTGCAGAGGGATCACCATTCTGAATTCTTTCGAATCCCTTCAGGACCCGCTTTTCGGAGACGATAGGCAACCAGCTATGGATCGTCCGAAGGTACTTGCGACGTACTTGGTCCAGTGATGTCTTCTTCTCTTCAAGAAATCGCATCAAATCCATAGTGCAGAGGAAAGCACGGTACGATGGCCGGAGAAGACCGGGCTTGATTTGCCAATTTTGCATCTCGGAGCTTTTGGCCGTCTCATCACTGGCAGAGGTAATCCCGAGTGGAATAGTCCCATTCGCTTCGGCGGCCACTTGATTTCCATTTTGAAAAATGTGTTTTTCAATTTTGTCAAGACGACGTAGTATTTCATCAAACTTGAATTCCGAGCCAGAGCCCATGTCAGGCACATCGGGCGGTTCATCATACGCGCAGCCCAGTGAGAGCCTACTTTCCTCTATCAGTGGACGTCAACTTTTGGAATCGCCAGAGCAGGCTTAATGGAGTGATAAAAGATGACCGAATTACCTAGAGCATCGACTACAGCTTGGTAGCGCTTTATTGCACTTCTTCTTGCTTCCTTTGCATTGAGCGCAAGTGCGTGTAGCCAGATGGCTTTCAGCACCTGATAGTGGTCCAGAAACCATGTTCATGATGTGCATTAGCAGGGATGTGCCCTGCTGATGATCTAAACAAAATCAAGTTCCTGTTTCTCTGGTGTATTTGTATTCCTATTTTGCATTAGGTGTGGGACTTGGTTAGATACCAGGTGTAGAGGAGTCCTTACATCAGTCTGGCAACTGCGCAAAACACGGAACCAGATCTCAACGGTAGGCGGATGTATTGGAATTAAATGATAAACTAAACTAGCCACTAATTCAAGCCCTTTGAAGTAAGTTAACTAGATCACACCTGCATCTTGCGGATTCTTGCTGGTTAATCTTGTTTAGATAGGCGGCCCGTCCAATTCAACCCATCCTTAGTTGCATTATGACTAATATGGTGGCTTTACATAACTGTTTAGGGACACAGCTCAGCTTGTGTCAAAAAAAGGTCTGCTAGTGTTAGAGGAACCTCACTATGACTCTAACACTAGTTAAACCTTAACTAGTGTTAGTCTTGTTTTGTTATAAATTACTATTATACTTATTTTTAATACTTAATAAGTTTCTTATATATAGTATAAGCTTGATATATAGCTAATAGAAATTAACTAATATTGTCACGGGCTAGAAGCCGGTCAACCTATGACCTAGGTTTGGACGGTAAGAAATCGCTAAGGGGTTCTAACTAGGGCCGCAACGGCCGAACAAGAAAAGATTGGTGCCTAAGGCAGCTCGCGAGTGCCGATAGGCTCGAGCATACAGCGGGCCTTGCCCGCTACAAATATTCTCTAATTACTAAGCTAGAATTTAACTTTAATATTATATAGCTTTAAATTAAATATTAATATAGGTAAATTTATACTTATTATATACTTAATATTAGTAGAAATAATATAGGTAGATTAAAGGGGGATTCTAGATCCTAAGGCTGTATAAAGTTAGTATTAGTAAGAATGCTCGCCCCAGTTGAAGGATTGTTAATCCAGCATTGTGGGCGGAATGCATATAGATCTTTATAGACATCTGGATTCAAATGCAAACACAGAGGACTCATGCTCATAACTTGTCATAAGGAATCCTGTTAGTACAGTGTATGTACGACCAGATCCATCTTATTGTGATATATGACTGGTTGGCTGGCAGGGACATGCATCTGGTGGTTCATGACTCCTGGGTGTAGCCTGTAGGCGGATGACCTCCTGCACCACAGTGTTAAAGAAAGGTAACCCGTCAACCTCCGAGAATCAAGGAATAGACTCCTTGTCTGGTACTGCCGCACGGAGCTTGGCTTAGAGATACTTAAGTACAGGAGGGTTAGCCAAAAGCTTATACACAGTAGCAGTGAGTGTGAATGCTATTATACCCTTGCCGGCAAAGATGACTAGTTAAGCCTTACTTACTAACTAGGCATCTGTCTTATCAGCAGGAGGAAGAGTACTATTAAGGATACCCTCCAAAATTATGCTCTTAATTCCTTTAGGGTTTAGAGAGTTCCTGATCTCGCGAACTCAATCAATCCACCACTTACATGAAGATTAGCTTGCTGCGGGCTTGGGAGAGAGCAGCGCCTGAATAATACATACTGATTTCTTGTCCACAAGCTCCGCCAAATTCGGCATTATGGCCTTGACCAACCAGCTGGGGGTCTTCTGCATTAAAGTAGCGAACTAAGGGAAGAATATCATGATATGATTCAGCCTAAAGAACATGTCGGTGGCATCAAAATAGGGCTTCCTGAAGCCAGGCCGCTCCATGAATGCAAAACTATCACTAAAGGCATATTGGGTGATCACATCACTAGTGCAGGCTTTGAAGATGTGGTGAATCTGCACTGGGGGAGAGCCTGCTCGTGCTATCTCCTCAAGTCATTCTAGAAGTCTTCTCACGGTAGCTCGGATTATGGGCTCAAGTTGGCAAATACTAGCCGTTGAGAAGAATCCAGCCACTGCGTTTCGTCGCTGGCGGTGAATGTCATGCTCAACTGTTGTTACCATCGAGTTGGGGGTTCCTGTTTTTCTTGCCAGACTTGGGTGACAGTTGGTCTTCCTGGACGGACCCGCAACCAAGTCGATGTATTCAGGGTCATTGTAGTGCACCTCAATCGGGTTGATGCGTACAATGGGCCCTTCATATTCTTCAGCATCTGCGACGGTACTCCAGATTCATTGCATACTGTATTGTTTGTGCATCTCCTGCAGGCGAAGGAAGTACTTTCCACCAAGCCATACTTGGTAATAACCCTCGTACCAGTGTGTCAAAGCTAGACGCATCTGTTATACTTGGAGCTAGCCAGTGAAATAGTCAGGTTCCATCTTACCAGCTAGCTTGGGTCCCGGGATGCTGGCTAGTGGCGAGAGATACACTGCGATGGCTCCGAGTCATTATCAGAAAAAGCTAGCCCTCAGCCATCGTTGTAAACCAGTTCTGATGCAAGATGATCTCGCGCGAACACGCGTGTTAAACGCATGATTATCCTGTATATACACACAGTCACCGTGCAGATTGCGCTTCGCCCCATTTATCCAGTAGCTCCAAACCCCCTGTCAAATGCTTACCATCATGCCTCGCATTTGTAATTGAGATTGGTAATCAACCTTCCGGCAAGATGACTAGAAATAATCGTTTCTATGTGCCTCCCAGTCCGTGCCAAAGCAGTGATCAATTCCAGTTCGATCCCCTCCATTCTTGCCGTATACCAACCAATTTTACCCCCTGTTATGGCTCCCACTGTTGCCTTTGTTACCGGTGCTAACCGAGGATTGGGCTTCGGACTGGTGAAGCACTTCGTGGCCAGTCCGAACTACGTAAGTTATTATCAGTTAACCGAGATCTGTCCGGAGCTAATCAAGCCACTCGCAGCTTGTCGTGGCTGCGGTTCGCGATCCCGCGCACCCAACCGCCCAGGAGCTATCTCGGCTATCCGTGGGCGAGGGCAGCAGCATTATCGTAGTGAAGTACGACGCCGGTGTTGAGCAGTCTGCCTTTGACGCTGTCAAAAAGGCCACCGACAAGGGCGTTGACCATATCGACTACGTTGTTGCCAATGCCGGTATTGCTAAGGTGTACCCCCTGGTTAAAGATGTCAAACGCGCCGACATCGTCGAGCACATCGAGGTGAACGTCCTTAGCGTTGTCTCTCTCTACCAAGCCACTCGTCCTCTCCTTGAGAAGTCGATTACCAAACCTGTCTTCGCTATTATGGGGTCTGGAGCTGGAGCTCTAGGGTAAGACATGCTCTCTCTTATTACTCCCCATCTAATGTCTTCTACTGGACTAACCTGCTCTCTAGCCGCCAGCCTCCCGTCCCTAATGCGGCATACGGTGCTTCCAAGTCCATTCTCCCGTGGTATGGCGTTCGAATCAACTCCGAAGATGAGTGGCTCAACACCTTTGTACTGGACCCTGGCTGGGTTCAGACCGACATGGGGAACGGGGCTGCGAAAGGATGGGGTCTGGAATCAGCGCCGGACACCATCGACAAGTCTACAAGCGGTATGGTTGATGTTATTACGAAGGGAACCAAGGAGCAGTACGGTGGCAAGGTTGTCCTCTACACCGGCGAGGTTCAAGAATGGTAGATTCATTTGATCATTTTCTTCGTTGCCTGAGACATGTTGGCTTACAAAGGTGTCAACTAAGGATGTAAAGTATTGACAGACACACTCTACATTTCTAGTTATTGGGCCTATGAATCTCAGACTAATGAGCAATCAGGAAAGTACATTCATTGTGTTAGGCCACGGCTTCCCTAACAGCTAGGCCATCAGTTCCCTCCTCAATTCGCCAGAACAGGCGCCTTGCCAACCCAAGCAGAGTTTTCAGTCATCTCGTCCAAAACCCAGTTCGCCAGACTCTTTCTGGATAAGAACATCCCATCATCACCTGACCCAGTGAAAGTAGCCGTCACCGGTGCATTGGGGCCAGTATTCAAGAAAGGCACCCGGAACAAAGTCCACTTAAGCTGCGAGACGTCCTGAGATGTCACATATGCACCAAGCCCTTTGAATTCGTCATAGGCCGACCCGCCAATAATCTTGACGAGAATAATCGACGCTTTCCACTTGAGAGCGCCTTTGTCTTGTGGCGCCGTGAATGAACATGTGCCGAGTACCATTGCCCTCTGGTAGTTATTGGCAATCAAAATAGGAAATATGTGTTTCATGGCATCAGTAACAGGCTAGTATTCCGTCAATATATTCATATTTGGCCTTCTGCGGAAGTGAGAGGTGAGGGAAAGAGTGAGCCAGTTCTTTAACGCACCGTTCCTTTGGAGTTTACAACAGGGCCTGCGAATGAGACAAAGACTGTAGGACCGGAAGTTGCAGCATGCTGGAAACTAGAAATATCTTCTAGAGTTCCCTTCACAACTGAAACATTTTCACTGCTAGTGATATTGGTAGGAAGCTTAGCTGGGTTTCGCACGTAAAGGGTCAATCTGTGCCCTCGTGTCAATGCGGCATTGCAGAATTCCAAGCCCGATGGCCCTACACATGATGAGAAAGACAATCCTCAAAGGAAACTTCGCGGCAGGCAAAGGGCTCACCAGTAGCTCCGATGACGAGGATGTGTAATGCCATCGCCCAGATAACTTTTTGTTCGTTGAGCAGCTCCTTTTTCTTCACATTGATATTGGATGAGAGGAAGGAATATGCCTGTTTAAAGCAGGATTAGTGGCACGGAAGAGGCAATCCGTGATCCGTGTACTGTCGGGTCCGGGACCAAGATTCCCGACCACCAGAAGTCTGATTGACAGTACAAGTTAAGTTATTTAGCCAGTCCAGAATAAATGTACAGTAGCTTCTTTCTCAAGAATTAATTTCTTTTGTATTCGCATCTTCGAACCACAAAATGCCGACGCAAAGCTCCAAACGGGCGAATTCCCTGTTCTTTTCTCATGGGTCTGGTCCTTACGTGCTCATGGGAAATAACCACCAAAAACCCTTGATCGATGTTTTACAATCCCATGCCCATATTCTTGACAATTCTCGTGGCATTATTGTGTTCACTGCCCACTGGGAAACTTCCCAGCCTCATATATCTGCAGCTCGCAACCCCCCAATATATTATGACTATGCTGGTGCGCCTGGACTTCCACAAGAGGCGTACGAATACCAATATCCGGCGCCAGGCGACCCGGATTTAGCTGGTCGAATCGCGAGAACTCTACAAGGTGCTGGGTTTCAGCCAGTAATGTGTTGTTGTTCAGCGGTTCCTCGTATCATCATCTAGACAAAGTTTTGAAGGCACTTCCGGAAAGAGGAGGGAATGGAAAGGTGAACAAGCCAACACCCGATTTCGAAGCTGAGCTTGAACGTGCTGTTGCTGTCTCCGACCCAGACACGAGATCTGCGATCTTGAGATCGTGGCGGCAATTTCCCCAAAGTTATGAAGCGCATCCCGCAGGCAAAGCGGAGCATTTTATGCCCTTGTTAATTGGTGCTGGGGCCGCGGGTAATGGTCAGGGCATAAGAACGCAAACTTGGGACCTTTTTGGGGCCCCCATGAGCACATACCTGTGGTGAATCCAGACTTGATGACCTTCTGTATCGGTCGTCGGTTTCTGCCTGAAGAGGCCCTTTTGTACCCACTCTCCATCCCGACGTAAATGCGAGACCCTCCCACACTGTGCCATAGGCCAAAGAAGGACCTGAAATGTCATCTCACATTGCTAAAACCATCACTGGCTTAAAAAGACACCTAAGCTTTGTTAAATCATCAGAAACAGATGGCTTGTTCCTTAACTAAGAAAAAAGTGGGCCTATCTACTTACATCCCTTACTGCTTACTATCAGAATTTACAGAAAATATTACATGATGGGTCACTTAAAATACATATGATGATTAACCAAATATTTGCTATTTGCTAACACTGCCTGCCAGACGTCTTCGGGATAAACCATCCCAAGCCTTCGAATGGGGGCTGTGGCCAATCTGGTCCGTAGGTTGCTCCGAATGAGATAAATTCGACAGGACCTGCGGCGCATGGCTGGCCGTTGCGATTTTAGGGTCTCATTTGCTGCGGCTGATAGGTATACTTATCTGACCATACAGAGCTGGACATTGGATGGTTTAACTGACCCTCACACTGGCCGAGCGACTAGGTTTAAGGAGTCTGCCTAAAAGAAGGGTGCACTTGCGGTCTTCACTATAATAGATGCTTCTCGTCCCCCCTAGATTCTTGCTGCAAGTATCATATCTTCTTCATTTACGCCCGAACCGAAAATTTATTGCACAGGACAAACAAGAGAGTGCACAATGGAAGATATTCGACGAAGTCGTGCCCAGAGATCCAGAGAACAATCCGGCCCACCTGTGATCAAGCTACGATCCTCGTGTGACTACTGCACGGATTCCAAGGTCCGATGCGACAAGCAGCATCCCAGCTGTGGCCGCTGCACCAAGCTGGGCCACAGATGCCAATACAGCGTCTCCTTACGAACAGCGAGGCTGGCCACTCTTCTGACAGCTGGAGAGAACCACGGGACAAACCACGGCGATGAAAGCAACGAGGATGCTCGGAATAAGCGTAAAAGAACACCACCGGCAGCAATGAGTGGCGCCGGTGGGTCTATACCACCGTCATTATCGCCATCCCGGCCATCATCAAGAACATCGGCATCTTCAACAGATCGCCGAAACCACGGCATGTCCGATCCTCCTGCTGCTTCCGAACTGAGCACCAGTTCTGGCACAAAGAGTATGCCCGCTCCGACATTGACAGACGGTCCCGGCTACATCACGCCGTTTAGCTTTGAGTCTGGGTTTGCGGATCCCAAGAGCGCGTACGTCACGGAAAATGGTCAGGAGCTAGAGGACGATTTTCTGCTAAACCATCTCCCCGGCGCATCTTCACATCTTCTACCGTTGGACCCCTCTGCGGGACTACAACGTCCTTGTCCTGACGTCGCAACAACGGCCCACGAGTTCGGTCCACTCTGGGCTTGGCCGGACTTTGTAGACCAGCCCATGCTGTTGTCGGGGACTCTGTCATCGCACAACAATGCTCCATTCAATTTGAATACGTCTGGAGAATGGGACGAGAATGGTGCTACGGCAATGTCGACGTTGAAACCTAAGCCCATCGATATGCATTCACCTGGCCTCGGCAAAAGTATGACCATGACATCTGAGAGTAACGAATCCAACACCGGTCTGGCGACTCCCCTTGGTCATGACTGCACCCGCGTCGGCAAACGTCTGCTCGCCAGCGTCAATCGACTTTCTATGCGCGATGAGGACTCCCCCAGCGGATTAACCACCGGCCAGGCGCTGCTGGTCTGTTCTGGCATCACGAAACGGCTACAGCAACTCCTCGAATGCTCCTGCAAGGAAGACCCACATCTCCCCTTTCTGATCGCCGTGATCATCTCTAACGTGCTCATCATCTACAGCAGCATCGCCCAGATCAGCATCCCGCCGTTCTGCCGGGGGCGTAGCGTAGCTTTTCGACCCGCGCCCCTCACGGTGGGGGTCTACGAAATGGACGACGAGGCGGGGCGGCTGCTCAACGCGCAGTTGGTCGTGCATGAACTGCGCAAGATCAGGCAGCTGGAGGCTCGGTTTTCAGAGAAATACTGCCGAACCTTCGAGGCCGAGACCGGCGAGAGGGACATCTATTCTGCCCTGGGGAATTTTGTCGGCCAGAGACTCAATCAGACAATTGAGGCCTGCTCTGGACAAGGACTGAACTGCGATTGACGGAATCTGATGTGAGAGGCGGCCAGTGACATGAACGCAGGGCGTTGGTCAAAATCTGCGCTAGTATTATTGTCTGGACCTGGCCATGTGGTGCTGTCTTGGTTGATCGCCTTTGTCTGGCGTGCATTTACCACATTTGGGCTAGGCAAGGATTTTGGCCTCCATGTCCGTGTCTCGTGTTGTGCCTCCGTGGCATGGCCATTTGTCAATATGTTGGACCTCCATCTCATAGTGGTTCGAACTGGATATTATTTCTCCGCAGGGATTCTGAGACTAGCACCTTATGATCCCTGGAGGAATGTTAATAATGGTAATCTGAGAACATTTGAAATTTTAGGCAGTAACTAGGCTAGGCTACCGCCTCCCTAGATAGGCTGGAACAACCCCGCCCTTCTTAAATTTCGGGGGCCATCTGCGGGTAACCCGGCCCAAGGCCCGACCCAACCCGGGCGGGTACAGGTGTTGGGCGGCGGGCCGGGGTTCTAACTTCTCAGACATACCTTAGTACTACCTACGTACTAGTCTACCGTACTACCTGAACCCGCTACGGGTGGGCCCAACTGGGCCTGTACCCACCCTGAACCCGACCCGATCACAAGTCCATCCCTCTACCAGATACGTAGATAGCAAAGCTGCCAGGGAGTACAGTAATAATGAAAATTTTAAAAACAGATATAAAACAGGTGGCGCAGGTGAGAACTCTAGGTAAGGGGTGGAAGAGATCTTACTCTAGACCTTTTAGGGGTGCTACGCAGCAATCACACGTTATCACTTACATCCTGGCCTGGTCTTTATGTTATCTATCCATGACAAGAATGTACCTACTAATGATCATATCTGCCCCTCTCCGGCTGCGTACCATCATAATCCATAGCCAACAGCGCTATTGAGATGGTATAATGTCCATAGAGGGGAATCTGGCCTCTGTCCTCTTGTCATTCATCCCTCGATCTGACCTGGTGGTATATCGCCGCCTCCAACGTACGGCAACCCTTTGTGACTCCCGGGTCCCCAGGAGGAAGAATCTGGGAGAAGAACAGTCCCGCAACGCCAGTGGATCGATCCAACCACTGGCAATGAACAATGTGTGGTGTTAGCCTGTGTTCTATACCGGAGAAATGATTGGAGGGGTGGGCTGCTTAGAGGCTGAACATTCCCCCCACAAAGCTACACTGATATCGGAAAATGCGCTACTTACCGCATGGATTCCAGGCATTCCCTGCCAATTGGCACTCCCTGCTGCTCTGCGGCCAGGAAAGGCGTCGTTGTTGATCGCGGAGCTGAGCCCGAAACAACCCGTTGCGCCATTGGGCCACAACTGGCGATGCGGCCGAGGGGCCTTACCGTTGACATAGGAATTTTGAGTGTTCGTGCCGTTCGCTTCCGTGGTGAAATAAATATTATCCTCCACCTGGGTCTTCATTAGCTCCGCCACGCTGGTCGGAGCCAGCAAGGTGCCGTCGTTTGCCAATAGACTGGCAAGGAGTTTGGTCTGGTCGTTTGGCGTGCTATATAACCCCAGCCCTCCGCAGCAGTCGGCTGCTGGACTCGCAAGGGGCACCGTCGCTGGGATCATGGAGCCGTCAGGACGCCGCCAGCCCAGTTCAACAGAATGCGCGGTGAGATCTGGGCGAGTCCAGGGGCGGAAGGTGGTGGAATGCATGCCTATACGCTTCCAGATGTGAGTATCCATGAAGCTTTCCAGGTCTTGCTGGGCAACCACTTCGATCTGCTACGAGTCAGCCAGTAGCTCTCTTTTCCCGTATTTATCTGATCAGAGTATAGCATGTACCGTCCGCCCGGCCCAGTCCATACCGGGACCGTAGCTCCAGCCGTGTCCCGGCTCATAGATCAATGGGTGTGCGTATCCTTTCTGGAATTAAGTCCGCGTCCCTGTCAGCGGAGTCACTGTAGAGCCAATGCGGGAAAAAAAGAAAAGGAATGGAGAGTAGGTACATAAGAGCCGCTGAATGTGTTCTCAGTCCGGCCTACGCATGCGGACCAACGCTGCAGGCCCTGATGCTAATTATCATAGCAGAACCCACTGGTATGCGAGAGGAGCTGCCTTTGTGGGTTGTTCACTGTCAACAAACCAAAGCTCCCACACAGGGACAAGAAGAATTTACCGTAGGGTTATCGGAGCGTTGCACTTGCGAAGACGCGGCGTGCCATCACTGTGTCACATCATCGGCGCCGTACAAGACATTGACATACATTCCCTAGTCAAAAGATTAGCACACCTTGTCCTCGGATGGCATTGCGTCGTTAGAAAAGCAGCTCTTACCATGGACAGATGCCAGGCAATGTGGCAGTGATACGCCCAGACACCGGGATTGTTGGCGTCGATCTGAATCACCAGGTGGCTGAAGGGATCGAGCATCTGGACATCGCGGCGGAGTGGGTTTTGCGGGTTTACCACCGTCGAGCCGTCCCATTCGCCTGGGCCGTGGGAAAGCACGTACATGTCGTGGCCGTGGATGTGCATGGGCTAAGGATGGGCCTGATCAGTGGACGGATCGGGCCGGCGCTGGGGTTCAAGGCAAGACTCACATGGGGACTGGTGTTATTGTTGAACAGATTGATACGGATAGTCTTGTTGGAACCAAAGTCGTAGATATTCCAGGGCCGCGCGAACGAGGAATCACCTTGGTGGACGCGCAGGAGCAGCGGCTCGTTGTAGTTGGCATGGAAGGACGAGCCATCCATCTCGAAGACCTGGCTGCCGGTGGCGTTGACGGGCTCGGTGGCCACGATGGTCCGGGTGGTGGAGGGATTCGGATCGGGAGTGATCGCGTAGTACGGGACAGTGAGATTGAGGGGCTCGCCAGCGCAGGAACCGAACATCTTCAGGCCGAGATCGTAGGCGTTGGAGGTCGGGATGGTGTCTTCCGCCGCATCGTCGTAGAGGACAATGGCTGTCCCGTTGGGCTGATTGGCACGAGCGCAGGGGATTGGTGGCTGAGTGGCACGCATGTAGTATGCCCCATTGCTGGCGCCATTGGCCGTGACCAGGACGTCGGCTCGCTGACCGATCTGTATGCGACATGCTGGGGTCAGTGGCACAGATATCCTGGATGGAACATAGCTGCGGGAAACACAAACTCACGCCCAGCGTCAGATTGGTGGTATTGTACGGAACGATGGGCACAAAGTCGGTGCTGACCACGGTGAGGATGTGTTCGTCTATGGTAAACCTGATCAGGCCTCCGGCGCCGTTGTTGATCAGCCGCAGTCGATACGTCTTGCTCTGTTCGACGCGGAACTTGGACAGGCCCGCGTTGCTGATACAGGGGGTCGCGTCGGTGACGAGGCTGCAGTCGAAATTGCCCCGGCCGTTGATCAGGGTATTGTCGGATGATTGCGCCCATAGCTCGGAGTCATTTCCGACCACTGCAGAGGTTAGTTTTTGGGGGGGTAATGGATTTCTGACCTGCGGAGACGATAGTGAAGTAGTCTTTGTGGAAGTCTTGCAAGTCAATGTTAGCCCGTCGAGCAGCGTCCTCAGGGACAGAGCCTTCATACAGTCACCCACAAAGATGGGTCCCAGATCAACGTCGTACTCAACATGGCTTGGTCCATAGATAACCAGAGGACCAAAAAGACCGCCTGCATACTGAGCCGAATAGTGAGAGTGATACCATGTCGTGCCCGGCCGGTCTGCCCGAAACCGGAACGTGAACGACGACCCTGGAGCTACGGGACACTGGGTCACACTGGGGATACCATCGTACCAGGGAGTTTCTCGCTGCAGGAGACCGTGCCAATGCAGCGAGGTCCCCTCTTCGGGGCCCGTAATGTTGTTGTGCAGAGTCACTGCGATGATCGATTGATCAGCTCCCACCGAGACAAGAAATTAAGCAGAGGTCGCTACCCTCGATGAAGTCCCCCCAGTTGGCCTCGATTCTGGGACCAGGGGTCTGCCCGTTGATGGACAACACCTGCTTCTGGAATCCATCGGGGCTGGCAGTGCCGCGGGCCACCGTGAAATCATAGCGCCGGGTGACGCCTGTTGCGGGCGGGTGTTCATTGGGGTTCCTTTTCTGACCCCAGGGAAGCCCATGGGGCAGGGGCTTATTCAGGAAGAGTTAGTATGCATGACTACCACAAAGAGCTTGTTCTTACGCCGTCGCTAAGGAATTTGGGCAGTTGGTCGGAATCCAGTTGGCCCAGTCGGTTGGTGACTTCGGCAACACTCAGCCCGGCGAGGACGGCGAGGGTGACAAGGCAGCGCATTTCGCCCAAGATATAGACAAAATGCGGGTACTGTGCTTGGCAATTGGGTAACTGAGGCGTCTTTGTATCTTTTCCGAGTCCATAAGATACAGGAGCGGACGTGTCTCGGTAGTCGTCGGGGATCGGGATTCAAGCATCTTACAAGGCAGTCGGGAACCAATTCGATCGCGGGAAAGGGCCAAAACTACCTAGGTTTGATGATAGTGGGATGTCCAAATGAGCTAGTTTAGGATCTAGTAACAGTGTCTGCAGAAGAAATATTGCCAGAGGGTAATAGTAACATCGCTGTTGGCGTCGACCTTGTTGATCTAGGTAACCCTCAAAACAAGCCAATTATCCCCAGTAGAGAGAAGCAAATCCGCAAAAGCTGCCTCAAGGAGCAAAGGTTCTGAAGAAACCAGCCAGCCACTCGCTGATAATCTTAGTCGCTGCCGGCTCGGCCATGTGCCCCAGCCCCTGTACAAACCGGGCGTGTTTGACACTCCCGTGTTGCAGCATCAAGTATGAATCCTCAATGGGAAAGATCTGGTCATTCACTCCCTATCAAGAGTCATTAGCTGCCATAACAATCAGGATAACGAGGCGCGTCTCGCGCTTACATTGACCAGAAGAAGTTTCGCAGATGGCTGATCCAGCAATCCATTCGCAAGCAGGGAAAACCGCTGTAGGGCATCCTTCTTCATGGCCTCGACGTCTCTGTAACCGAATTTGACAGCCAAGGAGTAGGTCAGACTAGAGGAGACGTCAGCCACTTCCAGGCTCCTTCTGAGAAAGCATAGGTACGTACTCAAATGGATAGTCCAGATGACTTGACAAGTCCAACCAATCGGGTTCAAACATATAATGAACCCCGGCCCCCTGTGCAATCACCGCCGCCACTCGGTCTCGATGCGTATGCGCCAGACGAGCCGCGTAGTAGCCCCCCGTACTGACCCCCCAGACAACGAGGCGACTGCGATCGACCCAGTCCTGGTGCTCCAGCCAGTCCAGCAAACTGCTCCACAGTCGCTCGGGGCTAGTTGGGTCCTGAACAACAGCAGGACAGTCGCCCGTACCGGGAATCTCCACGGCAATCGAGGCATATCCGCAGCGGATGTGGTCATTGGACTTGCGAGTGAATTCTGTGCGATAGCCATCCAGTCCGTAGATCTGGATGATTGTTGGGAACTTGGTCGACGACTCATGGCTAGGAACGCGAACACAGATGGGAATGTGGGAGCGTACTTCCTTCCCTGCGCCGTGAACATGAGGAATCCACACCTCGTGCATGGGGGGCACGAGTAGTCCATTGAGCTATCAGCGTGTTTTCGGATACCCAGGAAATGGAATAAACCAGACATACCGCGCTCCTTTGAAAAAGACCGCCTTCTGACACTTCCAGGCATGCAACTGTCGCGTAGAGATGGGAAAGGGGAATCGAGCGATACGATAGACGGCCGCCGCTCGCAGATACAACTCGCAGGCCAAGATCAGATTGCCCTCCTTCTCGGCTGCGTCTCCTCTCGAGTTCAGATCTTCCGCTACGGGGAAGAATGTCTCCGCAATACGGTCAAAGTTGTAGGGAGGACGATGATGGGCTTCTATCAGCTGGTTGAAAATCCCCTCAAAGTCTTCCAACTTGGCCTCCATGAACGGGTATATCCCAGCGGAACACTGCCTGACGTCAGTTTCTCCATTTTGGTTCGAGAAGGACGTAGATTTTTTCTCTTTTGGAACATACACGCTTCCTCCAGACCAAGCGCCAGAGAGCTTCGATCGATTCATGGTGTGCCGCCTGATGCGGCACCGGTTCTTGGATACTGTACTTCATTGTTTAGCTTTCGGATCTGGATGTCAGTGTGTGCAAGCTGTGTGTAAGGTCTGTTCCTCAGAACTTCTTTCAGCCCAGGTATATCTGCTGCCTCTCTATTCGGGTCTTTCGGGTCAGACACGGCGTTCTTCTCCGAGCCCCGGCATAAAACTATTAATGGAGACCATCCTGATGCAGCTCAACCTTGACAAGCCAGCGATCCTACGTCGCCTCAACACATCACAATGCAGAACCAAGCATGCTGGCAAAATGCCGCTTGCGAGCCAGTCGAACTGGGACCCGCTGGCCTCTACGAACCCGGGCCTGGGCAGATCCTGGTCAAGAACAAATGCATCGCCTTCAGTCCCATCGACTTCAAGGATCAACGTTTCCAGGTCCACCCCAAAAGATACCCGGCTATCTTGGGCACTTCCTTTGCTGGCGACGTGCTGGCAGTCGGTCCCGATGTTATTGAGTTCCAACCGGGCGATCGCGTCGCTGTCAATCGTGCCGACCGCACCCTCAGTGACCCCGCCCATGGGGTCTATCAGAGATACGCGTTGGCATCGGTCGAGACGACCACCCGCATTCCCGAGCGGACCAGCTTGGAATCCGCGGCGGCTATCATGATCAACCTGACGACCATGGTCGCCGCGCTGTCGCACCACATGGGCCTTGCACGCCCGCCTACGGACGGCGATGGGATTGCCCCGCGCAACGGCCTGCGCATCCTCATCTACGGCGGCTCATCTAGCTGCGGTGGTTTGGGCACGCGATACGCCTCCGACGCGGGTTACAGTGTCGTCACCACCTCGTCGCCGCAGAACCGTGCCTTCGTCGAGACGCTGGGCGCGACGCACATCATTGATCATTCTCAGCCGGAGGGAGACATCGTGGCGGAGTTCAAGGGCCATGGCCCTTACCATGCTGTTATTGACTGTGTCAGTCTGCCGCCCAGCTTCAAGATTCTGTGTCGGCTGCTGGGGGAGACGGGCGGGGTACTGTATGGCTTGCATCCCACGAAAGGACCCCGGTTTCAGTTTGAATTTCCGCCGCAAGTGGAATACCGCTATTTCCCTATGGCGTGGGCGCTGGAGGAAGAGGCGAATCGGGACTTGCGGGAATGGTATTATCAGCGATATCTGCCGTGGGGGTTGTCATCGGGACGCATCGTGCCTACTCGCCATCGCGTGGTCGAGGGTGGGTTGGAGAATGTGCAGAAGACGCTAGATATTCTGGCGACAGGAGGGGTCAATGGCCATAAGCTGGTCATGCATCCATAAGTAGATGAGTCGTCAAGCCCCGAGATATGTTCACATTCTTTTTTTCCATGTTTGTATCCCGAGATCGAGGCCCGATATCATTTCGGGTGTTCCGCTCGGGTTTGCGTCCAGATAGATAGATAGACCTTTCAGTAGTTCCTACATAATATCCAATATGTCCTACTAGTCGCATGACTTGCTTGCTCAACAAATTACCTGAGCTACCTAAATCTCCAACACAAACAGAATGATAGGCAAATCTTCCCTCCCCGAGCTCGTCTTCGGCTGCGCCGCCATGGGAGATCCCAGCCATCCCCAGGCCAAATTCAACAGACCCGAAAACACCCTCCCTCTGTTCGAGTTACTTCGGGCCCGCGGCGTCGCTCATCTCGACACGGCGCGTGCTTACCCGGTCGGCGCCCCAGGTACGTCCGAGGCCCTCCTGGGCTCCCTCCGCGCAGGCGACTGGGCCACCATCGACACTAAAGTCGTCTCCTGGCGGCCCGGTACGCACACCGCAGAGATGATCGCCGCAAGCATTCCGTTGTCTCTGGACGCGCTGCACCTCGACAAGGTGAACATCATGTACCTGCACGCGCCGGACCGCGCGACCCCCTTCGCGGAGACCCTGCGGGCGATGGACGAAGCCCACCGGGCGGGCAAATTTTCCGAGCTAGGGGTCAGCAACTACACGGCAGAGGAAGTGGAGCAGATGATCGAGATCTGTGAGCGCGAAGGGTACATTAAGCCGACAGTGTATCAGGGGCGGTATAATGCGTTGATTCGCTCCGGGGAGCAGGGGCTCTTTCCCACATTGAGGAAGCATGGCATTCGCTTCTATGCATATAGGTATGTATTTCTGCCCGGCCCGGCCTTTCTATGACCATCGGCCGCTGATGATCAATCCAGTCCCTCGGCCGCGGGTCTCTTCACCGGCAAGGCCTCCAAGAACGTGTCGCAGAACGCGCTAGCTGGATCCCGATTCGACGGAACGGTATATGTTGTCCCTTTTCCCAACTACGAGCAGAGTGGCTTATGTTTGGCGAGCTCTTTAGACCCCGCTGGGCAAAGTCTACCAGGAGGACTACTTCAAGGACGAACTCTTTGAGGCTGCTGATCGCCTGCGAGCGGCCGCAGAACGGGAGAACCTGACGGCTCATGCGGCCGCGCTACGCTGGGTGATGCACCATTCGGCCTTGGACGGGCGGCATGGCGACGCTATCATTATTGGAGCGTCGAGCTTAGCTCAAGTAGAGCAGAACCTAGACATTCTCGAGGCGGGTCCCTTGTCCCAGACGCTGCTGCAGGAGCTGGGGGAGATCTGGCAGATTGCCAAGGACTCGGCGCCTGTTTATCATCGGTGATTATATGTGAGACATTCGATCAGAAAGAAATTGAATTACGGCAGTTGAAGAAAACTGATACATGGACTCCACACCTGTCACCGGCTGTGGAACTTTTACTGCTAGCCTAGCTACAGGAGCTACGATGCTATCTAGATCGCAGATTACTGAATATTAGAGAAAAGAAGCAGGATTCAGACGATGAGGCTCCCATAATGCTGCTTTATATATACAGAAGATCCAGTTGTAAGGAACTAAGGATCGCGAGACTCTCTTTGTATATACTACTCGCAAAGGGAGACCAAAGGTCTTATGCTTATGTTCAAGCCTCTATGTCCCTCTATTAGCGGGTTGATGCCTGATCTACCTATGATTTTAGGGAGGTGGTTTAGGGAGCGGTTACGCCTTTCCCCCGCTAGATTGACTACTTCTATTCTAAGGTAGCTATAGACTCCAAATACCAGGTGTAGTCCACGTATCACTTCTGTAGTTGATCTGGCCATACCTGCTAGAAAGTGTCTACGTCAATAACGCTGAACCAAATATGCCATTACGCAACCGAGTTCTATTGCGATCTAGCATAATCCTCTACCTCTACGACTCTTTATTCACAGTCTTCTGTGCTTCGACCCTCTGGGGTCCACTTCCAGCCACTTTATCTGTCACACTCCTCCACTCCACCCCCAGCGCTCCGAACAGACTGGCCGCACTCACTCCCACGTAGATCAACCATACATATCGCAAGGCTGCATTAAGGGCCATTGACAGTTGGGGCAGTGAGGAGGGATCTACATGCGTTGTTCCCATAAGCATCAGAGACTTCGTGTCCAGCTGCGGGAGACGCTGCGCAATCTGACGGTTCATCTGATTGATGAGAACCGTCTCACTAATGGAGACCCGACCCCCGAATCCCGAACCCCGGCAGGGGAGACGTGTTGGGCCACCAAAGACGATAAAGAAGATACTTGCGATGTTGGCACCAGTTCTCTTTCTCTCGTTTGGATATTTCGTGGCACCGTTTCAAACTCAACATGCACAACCTGGCTGCTACTCTAAGCGACGGCTTCAGAGGCCGTCGATCTGTCTACGCCCTCACCAACGAATCGACAATATCTGACGAGCGACTGCGGGACCTCGTTTCTGAGGTGGTACTACACACTCCCAGCCCTTTCAACAGCCAGGCAACTCGTCTGGTGGTCCTCCTTAAGGACGAGCACCGGAAACTATGGGACATCGCAACCGAAGTCGCCAGTTCGTCGGTGCCTCCGGAATTGTTTGAGAAGCTATACAAGCGCCGAATCGCCATGTACCGTGCAGGATATGAAACGGTTAGTAGCATTGCGACTTTGGAATCCTGTCGGAATGCCGACTGACGCGGAATAGGTCCTGTTCTATGAAGACCCAGCTCCGTACGGCAAGCTCGGGGGAAAATGGCCTATGCCGAAGGATAAATTCCCACAATGTACGTATTTCACTTACTCCAACGGACTCAAACTAATCTTGTCAAGGGTCGGAACATGCCAATGGAATGCATCAATTTGCCCGTAAGTTTCCGCGTGCAATCTGTCAGAGTCACTTACCAACGCCACGCTAGTCTGGACACTCTTGGAAGCGGAAGGGCTGGGCTGCAATCTGCAGCATTACAGCCCAATGCTTGATGCCCGTGTCGCTGAGCAATGGGAGGTCCCTGCGAATTGGAGTCTCAAGGCACAGCTGGTCTTTGGGAAACCTGTCGGTCCTCCAGGAGAAAAGATCTTCGAGCCTTTGAGTGAGAGGTTATTTGTTCATGGGGAATAGCCATCTTCTATAATTCACGAAATAAATCAAAGAATCCATTGCAGTTTCTTTATTTACATATACCAAGCAGCGTTCATAGGGACGCTCCGTATAGGGCTGTGTCTTTAGCTTTTGGATGATTCTAAACGCCCTCCCATCCTCCAGACAATAGGGGGGGCAGAGACTACATACAATTCCGAATTAGCTTTGGTAGAGAATATGTGTTGCTGTGTGCGCCCCGTTATTCAGATGGCAGTCGTTACATTGGAGTACCATATCGACAGGGAAATCCTTTGCCGACCTCGATCAAGCTTCGCAAATATCGTCACCACGCAGGCGGATTCAGAGACATTCAGCTCAGTTAAATAGTGAGCCATGATACTTGATAATAGCAGAGACTGAGAGTAGAATAGTTCATATTAATAGAAATCACCTAGCACATACGACCATAGGGTGTGGAAAACAGGGCCTCCCGTCCATGCATTTTTGTCATCTGCTCCTGCCAACCCCAAAGCAGAACACAACGGTCTGTGTCTTTACCGAAGAAGGTGGCGGCAGGGCTGTTAGTGCTGTCGAACAGATTCATGGTGTAGTACCGCGGGACTTGGCCTGTCCACAGTTCGGTCACCCATGCTTGCTGGTTATTGCTCTGCAGGAAGGTGGTCAGCACATGCCTGCGAAACACCAGCCTCACAATCTCTCCAGATGGAACTTGTCACAGGCTACACGCGTGAGAAGTCTAGTTTTGGCGAATCCTGTAGCAATCAGGGTGACTGGTAAGTTTCATCCTTATGTAAGGGCTGCATCGCGTTGGATTCTGATAGCCCAATTTCCAGTGGCTCAACCAGAGATTATTGCGCAACCTCAAGCTGGGATGTAACTGCTGGAGCTTGTGCTAGTGGCATTTCTCCTAATAGGCTCTGTGGTTCTGATAATAATGACAGGACCTGCTTCAATTCTGCCTATGGAGATTGCTGCGATTATCTATGGCTATTGGTAAGCGACGTCATAATAGCTTGGTGACACCACATTTCCATCTAATAAATATGCCTGCAGTGGCTTAATGAGCGACTATTGTGGTTTAAACTGTGACTCCAGCTATGGGCCTTATTCTGGCACTATTTCTCTAAATAGTCTCTGTGGTGCTGATAATAGCAGTTATACCTGCTTCACTTCCAATATCGGAAACTGCCGCAGTATTTATGGTTACTGGTAAGTGATTACACTTAGTAGACATACTTGAAGGCAACTGACTAAGACGCTCTTTTCTCTCTCAGCGGATCAACGGATGAGTACTGCGCATCTGCCATCTGCGACAGTTCCTATGGAGGGTGCAATTGAGCATATGTTAGGGCTGATTAGGGCTAGACAACACTAGTACGGAGACAGCTAAGCAACTCCGTATACACAGTAGTACCGCCCCTATTCGACCTCCAAGTTAGTGCTGTTAGACCCGTTTATGCTACCTACAAATAACTTGCAATTGCAAATCTGAAATGTATCTTCCCAGATTACAGAATAACACCAATCATTATTGTCTCTTGTTAGCGTTCAAAGTCGAAATCAATTATTTCCTCGCCTCTATTGGGCCCTGAATTTGGCCTCGGTCCAGGGAGTTAACCTGCGGAATTCCCCCTCGCTTTTCTTTTTCAACTATTTTCGGGGTTCTATCTACACCAGACAACATAATACTCGATTCCTTCCTCAGAAGCCACCAAATGTCGCATCCGACATCGCAATCATATTGGCCTGGCGGGATCCCTGCGACCATCAGTCTTCATCCGACCAAGCTATCCCCGTCAGAGCTTCAAGAAGAGACAAAGGGTTGGCTGCAATTCATAAGAGTATGGAATGCAAGTCGTGTATACATTTATCACTGACTCACATATGCACATCTTCTTTAGGAAGAATGGCGCCCAACAACTAATGTTGAGGATGAAGTACGTCAACGGCGCGTCCTGGTGGAGAAATGGGCAGCGGCTACTCAGGACTTTCGAGCTGTCAGTGTATGAAATGAATATGATATCTACATTGGAATTAACACATTGGAGCAGTCTTACCAGCTTCGCGCCCCGTCGCCATCCTCAGCGTTAGACTACCCAGCTTCTGCGCTGGCACAAGAACCTCAACCCGACAAGCGGTTCGTGTGTCTCGCTCCAGTGGACCGCCAAACGAACCCTCGCAACTACATCCACCTACTCAAATTCCTGATCTTGCTGTACGTCCACCAGGACGAGTGGAACGACGTCCACCCCTTTGACCTGGCGGGGGCTGGGCAAGCACCGGGATGCCACATCCCGACTCTGATCACCCCGAATCCCTCCACCACCGGTCTGTCTGCGCACGGCGACTCACTTGGTCTAGCCGACGTCCTACCGGCGCTCTTCCTGGAGACCGCGGATTTCCATGCCATATCCATGACCCGGACTGGCACGGTCGTGTTCGCAACGTGGGCTGGCTACTCTTGGTTCGTGATTGACCAGACGGGGTTGGATACTGGTCGGATGGCACTGGTAGAGTACTCGTCTAGCGGTGGCATCAAGGCTTCCACCCTCCGAAGACCCTGGAATATGGGGCAAGTGATGTCTTTCGGCCAGATTCTAGGCCGCAGTGTGTCTGAACTCGCTCAGTCAAGTATCGGTGGCCATGAACATTATAATCAACCGTATGTTACGACCCCCGTTGATGCCCTTGTCGTATGATCCTTGTGCTAATGTTCTGGTTTACCAAGTCTGGATATGGACCTCCCCATCCTCGATATCTTGGAATCCGCCAGGCAACGAGGCGAGTTCCTTTTTGCGGGCTACGGGAGTCGTGAATTGTGGTCTCGGATTATTGAGCAGAGTGCACCTGGGTATTTGGATTTGGAAGCTAGAGGCCAAGAGCTAGACTTTGATCTTGCAAGTCTCCTACCAATTGACTGATAATTGATTGGTTGGCTGGTTTCTTAATAGATAATTATAGTGCAAACATCTTTCGATTCACGTACGTGATGCTGAGGATACTATCATCAGCAGTCAATGTGCTCTGACCTGTAGCCGCTGGCTCGCGCTTTTAAGACTTCGGGCCTTCGGGCTACTGCACAAGCTTGCGTGAAGATGCTGGAATAAGCAGGTAGCAGAAAGGGAATCTCGCTCAGGTGTAGCCGATGGCTAAAGCTTATACACGCTCTTGATACCCGGTCAATTTGTGATAAAAGGAACAGTGTCGTTCATACCAGCCCTAACTGTGTCTATTCCACTATATCCATTCTTGCCTTGCACCAGCGCCGTCACAGCCTTTCCGAGGCGCTTCAGCGAGATAAGTAATCATCGGCCATTTTATACGACACGTGGATCTCTGCAATGGCTCTTTGACAGATAGATATCTCTGCGCAGCTCGATTGGTTGAGTATCCTATTAGCCGCGAGAACAGCGAGTGCCAGAGCTCAAAACTAGCTCTCATAAGTTCACGGGCACTGACCTGCAGGAACATGATAGGTACCAAGGCCGTCCTCAAGAGTTCGCTGGTTATGCTCGGTATCCTTTTGTGTCGACGTCCATGGGAGAATGACTCGTGACCGTGGCCGATCTAGATGAGGATCTAGGTTAAACCTTTCTTTCCTTAGGACTTAGGTTTCCTTCCTGTAGTAGAACTCACCTGCTGAAAAAGTAGGCTCTTTATTGCGGTCTTTCAGATGGTTCCAAAGTAGAAGAAGGGATGGAGGGCCAGTAACAAGTAGAGTGATAAGTGCAATGATAGCCTCCACTGACCACCCCATTCTCTAGGTCACCACAGAAGAAGACAGGCAATGGAAGTTGTTGATTGTATCCAGAAGCGTAGAGACCTCCCTCTTTTTCAAGGGCAGGAAAGCCATTCTGAGATGACAGGGAAGAGGCTTTTATCCTCCATCATAAGTGACAGAAAAGCATTGAGTGTAAATACTAGATGCCAAATCCGTCTGATGATGAAGCTTGACTGTTGATTAAGTCAAGCACCAATCATATAGGAATCATCACCTAGGCTGAAATTCTGGTCTCTACCAATAGCAGCTGAGCCAGCACTCAACATAGTGAACTACCTTAAGTAGTGCCCATAGTTTCATCCAGGTACAAGGATGAGCTGAGGCTGTACTGCATGCCAAGCAGCCTAGGTCATTACAGATAGAATGTGAGGACTGCAAAATTGACCTGACAACGACCGCTACACCCGTACTTTCTAACGGTATCCAACGACCCCTTTCTCCAGATTTAAAGATCGCTTTGCAATATTCTAAAGCTCTAAAGGCGTCGCGTGCCCTTGGAAGCACAAAGACCCGTGAGAGGACTGGACGGGGCCAGGGGCTGGTGCTGCCCAAGTTGCCTCCGCGTAGCTGGGAAACCAAGCGGAACTAGACTAATTTGTGCCTCTCGAGCAATCTAAAGTTCGTTGAGGTCCTCTCTGATGCATCGGCAGACCTTTGAGGCATGGGATGGTGCAAATGGGGGAATTACGACTGTATACAACGTTGGCGAAGCAAAGCATATTTTCCAAGGAACGTGTTGCTGAGATTTTGAGCTGCAATACGCTCTCTACGCCGTAAATCCTGTATCCAATCCTGCGAAATGCTTGCGAGGTGTCGGGTCTGTCCCGAGAATCGCTACCCTTTGCTGCCTAGAGATATTTTGGGAAATCGACGACTGTCGCGAAAGCCATCAAAAGAAGACAAAAGGGGCAATGTACATACCTCCGTAAGATTACCAGAATTGCGGTCTGGCGGTCTGGCGTTGTGGCTGGGGGAAAAGAGAAGAAAAAGAAAAAAGGAAAAAAGGGAAAAGGAAATCGAAAACAAGGAGGCATAACACCCCGGATCAGGGATTAGAATATCTCAAACCAATGGCTAGGCCAGCGGAAGGCTTAGTCCGGCGCGACGTTGCCTGCTGTCATTTGTCGAGACCAGAAGATACGTATCCGCAGCCATTATTCGACAAGGCTGCGAGCCTCCAGAAACATAATCTGTACCTTTTGGCAGGATCCAATGAGGATTCAGCGTGAAAATTTTTCCCTTTCGTACCTATGGCGCTGTCTATCTCCCTTGGAGATATGGGGGGATATAAACGAGTCACGGTCCTCATGGACAGCCAAACTCGAAAGGAAAAGAGTCATCAAACAAGCAACGAAAAAAAGAACTCATGGCTCGAACTAAGGAGGAAGAGGCCGAATGGCAGAGCCACCGCGACGAGCTCAGGGACTTGTGGCTGAATCAGCAATGCCCTTTAAAGCAGATTCAAGAGTATATGTCCCAGAGGCACAGTTTCCGCAAAAGGTCAGTTGGTCATGCCCCTGGAAAGTTGTTCAGTCCCGGTTAAAGGAAGCCACGTTCTCCCAGCGAACCTCAGTACACTCGGCAGTTCAAGAAGTGGGGGTTCAAAAAGAACGCGACCGATGAAGACTGGAAATACGTTGCGCATCGTCGCGAGAAGCGAAAAAGAGACGGAAAAGACCCCGGCGACGTCAGGATACACGGCAACCTCATCCCTGATCCGAAGGTTAGAAAGGAAACAGCTCGTCATGTCTCATTGTCGTCGCAGTATTTGTGGATGGGAGACTCCGGTGCGTATCTATAGATGACTTCTTTCTCTATCCTGCTTCCTCGTCCATATGCTCACCCGTTCATCATCTCAGACCCCAAGACCCCGGAGGGGGTTGTCGTGGGTACGCCCCGATTAGAAATAGATGGTCCTGTCTCCGACGACTCCGCGAACGTCCTTGCGATGGACTGGTGCCAGGGCCTGAACGTGGATGGTATCAATCTTGAAACTTCTACAATGTTCCAATCCGCCGATCGGGACCCTCTTGCCTTCCAGATTGAGCTCCCGGAGCTGAGTTTATCGGAGTTCTATTTGCAAGGGAATGAGGAGCCAGCTGCAGCCTCTTCCTATCTCGGGGATGCTACGTTGGAACAATGTCTGCCTGTATTAAGGTCTGCTAGTACGCCGACATCTACAAATAGGAACAGCCATATTCAGTACGGCGCTGATTCCATCACCAACGACATTGTTGAAGAGACCCGCTGGACTCTCTTACAGCAGACCCGTACGTTCAGTGGTCATAGTCCCAGCGATTTAATTTCAGCCCTGGAACCTATCACAATAGGGGATGTCAACAGCGACTTGGCAAGAAGAGCCGAGGCTATATTTCAATCGCCCTCCCCGGAAAATCTGTCTCACTATCTCAGTCTCTGCGTCTACCTGTCATCCAATAACCTGATGTCCCTGTTGTCAACGGACAAGCTGGTATTGCTTATCAAGAAAAGCGGCTCTCAGTCGAGACTTAAAGCGCTCTTGAAGTCAACGACCACGACAATCGAGATATTCATGAGCAACCTGTTAGCTAGTGCGGCGGCCGTGGGAGACATTGAGATCTGTCGAATCCTTATCCAGGCTGGAGCGGACGTAGATGCACCTAGTGGGCTGGGTATGCGAACAACACCTCTTCACCGAGCGCTCAGGTACAATAACGCGGATTGTGCAAGGATATTGCTGGAGGCCGGCGCAGACGCAAATTTAGTGATCGATGGGGAGACACCACTCCACACTGCATGCACTAACTCCAATGCACTTGATATTGTGGCCCTTTTACTCCAGTTTGGAGCTGATGTTAATCCACCGCAAGACTGCGCCCGACTCACGCCTCTGCAACTTGCTGTCCAGCATGGTGGACCTGGTTTGGTGCAACTCCTTCTTGATAAGAAAGCGAACCCGAACTCTTTCACAACATCCAAGAGAGGTACAGCTCTACAAATGGCATGCCGTAAATCTACCGATGCCGAAATAGTCGAGCTTTTAATCGCTGCAGGCGCGGACATTGATTCTCGCTCAGGCTATCGATGTGACAATCGAAGTCCTGATTACCTTGGGGACAGCGATGCAGACTCCGAATCAGAAGAAGAGCCAGACGAAGACTTGCTTTTTGGTTGTACTGGCCTCCCCGATTCCTTTAAGCCAGCCATCCTTCTAGCGGCAGAAAACGAGAATTGGGAGGTGGTCCAGCTTCTGTTGGAAGAAGGCGCCGCTGTCAACGCCAGCTTGAGAAAATGCCCACCTACAGTTCTAGACCAGGAACTTGACGAATACGAATGGCATTATCCGGCCGTCTTTACCCCGTTGCAAGCAGCTATTCGGGCACAGAATATCACCATGACTCGCATGCTTTTGAGCGCTGGAGCTCATATCGATGCGAGGCCGAAAGGAAAGTATGGCCACACCGCACTCCAGATATCTGCTATGGTCGGGAATGAAAGGATCATTGAAATTCTCCTGCGGAAGGGGGCGGATGTCCATGCCCCTGCTGGCGTCTATCGTGGAAGGACAGCACTTCAGGCTGCTGCTATACATTCGGATACAAAAGTGTTGAGCATCTTGCTCAGGAATGGGGCAGATGTAAATGCTCCACCGGCCAAAGAGAAAGGCAAAACTGCCCTGCAGATAGCAGTAGCCGCGGGCAACACCGAAGGGGTCAGGATCCTTCTTGATGCAAATGCAGCTGTCAATACCGACCCGATTCTCACTGAAGGGGTCACAGCTCTCCAGGAAGCTATCCAAATCGGAGACTCGGCGATAAGGAATGAAATAGTTCACCTACTGCTGCGAGCCGGAGCGTATACTGAGAGTCCCAAAGACCAGAAGCAATATGCGCCTCTTCATGTCGCAGTGAGAAAAGGAGACCTGGAAATGACAAGAAAACTCCTGGAGAAGGGTGCGAACCCAAACGTGGGGTTTTGTGCGCAGACAAACCTAACCCCTCTGCAGCAAGCTTCGTCCCAAGGCAACGAAGATCTGGTCCAGGTATTGATAGACCATGGAGCAGACGTCAACGGCCCGCCTTCGTTTTCTGGAGGGCGCACAGCCTTGCAGTCTGCAGTTGAAAACCGCCATGTGTCTATGGTGAAGATGCTATTGAAGTCTGGCGCGAAGATCAAGTTAAACAGAGCTACATTTGCTGGAATCTCGGTGATGGAAGCTGCCGCCAAGAGATGTGATCAAGAGCTTGTCCAGCTTTTCCTCGATAAAGAACCGGACATCATATCATCTGACCCCATCACGAAGAATCAAGTTATAGGGCTAGCTCTGAAAAGCTGGAACTGTGACGTGCCTTTGCTGGAGCTTCTGCTCAAGGGAGGAGCAGTCGTTAACAATAACCCGTCCCTTCCGTCGGAGCCATTTCTTCAAATTGCAGCCGAAAGACACAACTTTAAAGTGGTCCAGTGTCTGCTTTCTGCAGGCGCCAACGTAAACCACCGCTGTGAAAGCAACTCTTCTGGCGATGTCACGGCCCTTCAGGCCGCCGTTTCTATGCGGAATATCGACATCGTCCAGTTACTGCTCGAAAGGGGCGCCGACGTCAATGCACCGGCAAACAAGTATGGAGGGAAGACTGCGCTGCAAATAGCAGTGTCACAGAACTCCCGACTTATGACGGAGCTCTTGGTGCATCATGGGGCTGATGTCAATGGCTTGCCCAGTCCAGTGCGAGGCCGGACAGCTCTCCAAGAGGCTGCAAGCTCGGGTTACGTGCAGCTCTCGGAATATCTACTGGCTCATGGAGCTCATGTCAATGCGCCAGCAGCACATTTGGGTGGAGTCACGGCCTTGCAGGGGGCCGCGATGCACGGCAACATTCGCATTGTGATGATGCTGCTTCTGGCAGGGGCAGATATCAATGGAGCGCCTGCCATTGAGCAGGGACTAAACACCATTGAAGCCGCTGCAGGGAATGGCAGGCTTGACACTCTACATCTCCTGTTGAACTATCACCCGGACACCGAAGAGTTTGAGATCAAGAAAAAAAGAGCGGCGAAACTGGCACTGGCAAATGGTCATCTGGCCATTGGGAGATTTCTGCTGGCTTATCGTAAACATCCTTGGAAGAGATGAATAATGGGTCCCGTCAATTCAGGATGTCTATATCAGGGTGCAATGTAGGTTATTGAAGGGAAAAGTTCATGTTGTTGTTCTTATGATTCACATAGATCTTTGCTAGTACTAATGTGTTCTAACCCTAAAGTACTCCTATATCTCTTGCAACATCACCTCTAGTATATACATCCCCCACCATCCACTAACGATGGATACTTCCCGCCCTCTGCCTCGTCGACCCAAACCTCTGCTCCGAATAGCGACGCTCCAGCCCAAACCTCTCGTTATCAGGCTGTCCCGGAAACCGCGGCGGACCCCCCAGACTCGCCAACACGGCACTATTATCCGCCGTCAAATCATCCATGACGTCCAGCTCCTCCACGCTGAACCACCTCGGCATAACCCACACCCGAAACGGAATCAACGCAATAATCAGAATCGGGAACCCAATCGCCGCAATGGTCTGCGAGATCGCCACCGTCGCCGCGACACCCACCGCCTGGCAGACGATATACAGCGCGATCTTGCGCCTGCGCACGGTCAGCAGCGGCTCACCGCGCTGGATGAATCTGTTCTCGCGCGCGAGGAAGACCATTTTCTGGAGGATGCCGTTCGACTCGATGGATCCCCAGCCGACGGTGAAGAAGACGCCCGCGAAGACGGCGGCGGGCATCGTGTGCAGGACGATCAGCAGCGGGCCCGTCATCGTGCCGACGATGAGCAGGCCCATGAGGAAATGGGAGAGGCGTTGCTCGACGACGGCGGTGGCGGTTACGATGGGGCGGCGGATCTCGGCGCCCTCGCCTTCGGCGGTCGAGATGGTGCGGAGGGAGGTTTCGTAGATGGTTAGGGAGTCGGTGTGGACGGGGGCCTGGGGCACTAGGCCGTTTGGCATGGGGATGCCTGTGATACCTGCGAGGAAGGTGGTGCAGCCCAGGAGGAAGAAGTCCCAGTGGAAACCGGCGGGTTTCTTGAGGGGGAACTGTCTGGCCTGGGCGGTTAGGCTGCTTACGTTCTTTTCTTGGGTTAGTGCTGTATCTGTTGAAGGGGGGTGGAGAGGTCGTACGTGGTCATAGTAGAAGAGGAGCATCACCAGGAACCCGAAGGGTAGTGCCGCGAATACCCATTTGGCATCGAGTTCCCAGAAATGGATGAGCCAGCCGCGCGGCTGTGTAGGGTAGAAGGCCCGCGTGATGGGGACGAAGGAGATGTTGGTGGCTTTGAGATTACCGGGTATGTGCGAGAATCCTACCCAGAAGATGGTCCCAATCTGTACGGATGTGAGTTGAGATTGGGGATCTTGCGTACCGGGGGAATGCATACCACATATGCGTAGTCAGCCAGTAGACCCCTGAACCACGGTTTCCAGACGGTACTGGACCCAAGCCGTTCCAGACCGTAGATGGTGAGAAAGTATAGGATGGCAATCATAGTGCTCATGAACCCAGCCGTGTTGCCCTGCGTCGTAAACTCGTTCACTAGTTCCTCGACGCCCTTGACTACCGCCGGTCAGTACCATCAAACCCCCATAGTCGGGGGCTGAGACTCACTGCAGTAGATAATGCCGACATAGGCGCCAAACGACTCGGACGAAAAGTCCGTCACATAGCGCATGTAGTCACACAGGTTGCAGACAGCCACAAGCCAGTGGAAGATAGCGGCCCAGATGGCGGTCCAGCACATGAAATTCGGGTAGATGGCCGGTTCGTAGATGGTCACGATATCGTAGATGGTGTAGTTGAACAGCGAGATCAAACCAGTAATACCGACGATGGTCAGAGGCTGTGCTCCCAAGACACTGAAGATCATTGCCGCCATAGCAGATGAGAAGAGGGCCTCGTTGATGCCGTAGAATTCGCCAGTGCGTCGGTACATGTCCAGTGTGTATGCAACGGCAGGAAGCATGCTGCCGCGTATCAGTAGACAGTCTTAATAGCGATAGTATGGAGTGAAGCGCACTTGACAAAGTACATCCGGATAGTACTTGAGACGACGCGATATGTCCAGGCATCTCGAATATCACTCCAGTAGTAGGGCAGTCGACGACGGACGTCGTGATACATGCCCCGAAAGAGACAGAGAGCACGGATTGATTTCCATCCTTCGCGGTCCTCGTATGTATAGGAGAGCCACGATTTCTCTCTTGTCAGAGGCTGGTCGAACGACATGATGGATCAAAATGATGCATGAGATGAACTATACGGAGGGGCTTGGATATGACTGGCGATGAAGAAAAAGAGCTTAGAAGAGGAATGGGTGCGCCTTTTATGCAATCTTTGTCTCAGGACATCTTGGCCTCTTCGTCAGAGGATGATCGAACGTTCCTCGAAAGTTTCTCTCGGTGGGGAGGACGATTGAGTATTGACCTTGGCTGACAAAAGCTGGAGAATGTATGGGCACGATATGGGTGATAACCTAGCTGAGAGGGCATTGAGACACAGCATAAGGCATACCGCAGGCGTCTCCTCGGTCCCTCTACCTTCATCTTGAGAACTGCCCCCCATGCATCTTTTCATGGCGTTCATCCATATTCCATACTTCGAAGCCGGTGGGGATGCCTGACGTCATGGCGTTGAGGTTTCTGAATTCTGATCGATGAGTCAGCAGGTTTTCTGCGCGGGCAGATTCCAATGGGGAGCAGAGTATAAACATCATCTTCATCTTCATCTACGATCTGATATCTGTCGACTCGATGGCATGGCGGTTCCATTGGTATCGGAATTATGCTCACTGCTGTGCAACCAGCATTTTCCGTCGCAGCTCGCGTCGATTTTGAGTCATCAGAAAGCGAACCAGAGCTACGAGAGCAAAGATCATCTTGTCCTGCGGATAGAAGCGTCCATCTCTCCAAAGGACGCATCTCCGCATGCCCGTTCGCCTCTGCCTGACCCAATACTGCTGGTAATTTCTCCTTCGTGTATACGAGGCTTTAATTCTTACCTTAATTAGGGTTCCATTGATCTTAAGAATGGACGAGTGATTCCATATTCCCCAACCACTCAGACTGCGACTCCGCCTCGAGTATGACCATCTTCGACTGGTAATATCTAGTATACTGATTTGATAGGACGATGAACCCGACGAAAGCACACCATTGACCCCTCAGTCAATCCAAAATGAGGAAGCGCATCCTCCCAAACGTCACAAGACGGTCAGCGGTTTGCGACCATCACGACATCTCCAGCCGGCCGTGACAACAGTAGATTCTTCAGAGTTAGACAGCAGCGGCGATAACTCTTCATTACAGGATCTAGACATGGTCTCCGGGTCCGTGCGGCAGGTCCATAGTGACACTGGGTTTCCACAGCGTAGAAAAGCCGGACAAGATAACGCCGCGCCGGTCCTGGAGCCTACATCAACCGATAAGTTGATCGCGGGAATCTGGAGACAGATGTACTCACCTGTGAAGCTGAGCCGGACTCCTTCTGTAAGTTCCTGATCGAATTGCGTGTACTTTGCTGACCGGACAGGTGGTTGAACCCACGATTAACATCCGCACTGGCGTCAGTGGAGATGTGAGTGAGCGGTGCTCGACGTTTGGGTAGAACTTGGCTGACAAGAAAGGTCTTCCGAGCTGTCAACACTCTCTGCATGAAATACTACAACCAGAGTCAGTCGTCTCGCGCCTTGGAGATGATCGTCCAGGCCTACTGGATTGAATGCTATGAAGCACGTATTGCTGTCATCCGACTGGAGAACCCGCATTTATCCAGTACTGAGGCACGAATGACCGCGCTGAAAGAGGCCTGCGCGGTCCTTAACTGGAAGGAGAAGGATCTCCGCAACAGAATGTATCTCAGCCCACCGTTTCGTTTCCTACCGCGCACTGACGAAATAGGGCAATTTGGCGCGGCTACAAGGAAATCAAAGATGCAGGCGGCTGGCCCGGCCTGATCTTTGCCAGCTCCGGTGTCTACCGGTTCTGCAAATACCGCACCGGCTTCGGCGAGGGTTTCTCGACTCGTCTGCGCCATCTCCGGTCGAGTCTGGAAGTTGCGGCGGACACCCTCCACCCCGAATGGAGGGATCTGTTGCATGTCATCGGCCAAGGGGATACACGGCGCCAGTATCATGGCCATCCCCACGAGTGGGTGACAGTGGCAGGAGAGCCTGCACTACCCCTGCACGCGACCTATGCGCACCTCGATCTGCCGAACGGGTTTCATTATCGCTTCATCGACGAGTGTGTGCTTGATACGACCGTATTCGGGACGGAGGACCCCCGTCGCGCACCCGATCTGGATCCGGATATCTGCCAGGTCTGCAAGGCAAAACAGTCGGACGACATTGAACAGAACCACTGCTCGTGTTTTCCGGCTCTATTCGGAGGCGCCAAAGGACCTGCTCCGGTGCAGATATTCAGCACAGCGAGCGGAAAGAACAATGGCGTGGTGGCCCGTGTGGTAAGTTCACATCGTGGTTATTTCCCAAGAGACGTCCAGCTGATGGATGGCTGGCTGCAGAACTTTGACCGCGGGGTGGCAATCGGCGAATTCGTTGGACTCATAACACATGGTGTCTCCGGCGTGGATGTCATGGTAGGCGGCACGAAGGGCAGGACGTACCAGATCTACCAGGGCGAGATGGGCAACTTCACCCGGTTTATCAACCATTCATGCCGCCCAAACAGCCGGTTCCAACGGTTCTACTGGCGCGGCAAGGAGCGGATCATTGTGGTTTCACGAGGGATAGTCGCGGGGAGAGAGATCACGGTAGATTACTCGGATCACTATTGGAAGCAGTTGAATAAGGTCTGTCTGTGTGGGGAGTTGTGCTGTCGATTTAGAGGGTCGGATCGGCAGTGATTAAATCAGTTGATCTATCATATAGTCTACATATTCTTAGGCTGATTTAGGGTGGTAATTTACATAATATTATGGGCCATTCGGTTATCAAAGTGACAATTCTCGACGCTTCTGTCGGACTGTCCCACCCGTACCACCATCCGGCGTTGAATGAAATATAGTTCACTCCAGATCACGCAGTGAGATGTCATACCTTGATGAGTCATATAGATCACTGATCAGCAAAGTGGAGATCTTCTCGATGGCGAAGGTATGCTGACGTGCAGGAGACTCAAGGCTATTGTAGCTATATGCACGGAAACCCGGACTTTCTCAAGAGATATCCCTCGCTGAATCATCGCCAACAGATAAATACGAAGTTCAGGCGACATGATATGTACTTTTGCTTTCGACACGGTCAAGTTCATCAGGAAGGCAATATAATATCACGCATGAATCCTGTCAGGGACCCAGAGACGAAGTACCTTTCCTCTATCAATGTACTAAATCCCCGAGCCAGTAACACAGGAAAGAGTCATATACATCATTGCGTCTGCGACAATGCATAACCCAGCCCAACAGCCGAGCTCCTGAAATTCCGCAAGAACCTGAGCCCTCAGGCAAGTACAAGGCCACCAACCAGACGGAATTCCACCCAGTACACACCGACAGAGCATGAGACACATAAGGTAGACCTCACGTACCAACGCCTTGCGACACACCATGATTAACTAAGCCCGACAGTACAGGCCCTCTGGAAACGCTGCTACCTAACACCCGAGCGCCACCCACGCCTCCCACCCCGTAGATCGACTACGGTCCCCCGAGCACGGTGCACCACCGCTGCAGCCTAGCACAGTGGAACCGTCCTCATCCTGATTCGGAGCTACGATTGCAGAGGACCAGTGACCATTGCCATGGAGCCGGAGATCAGCTGTCTGCGTCAGGAGATCGGGGCCGCTAGACTGGTACGCTTAAGCTTATCTTGACTTTTTTTCCCGAGAGATTGGGACGGGGGTTCCTGCGGCGGTTCGAACCTTGCTGTAACTCAGTATACAAGGTATACAGCAGAGAGATGCTTGGTTCGGCATCAGCAGTACCTTCGTGGCCTTGATGCTATCCAAGGATAGACACGTGACCGTTCTAGATATAGATTATAGATATACAGATATCCGGATATTCCCGTCTGTGTAATATCTGCTCGACATAATTTCGGTTCTTTGAATGGAATTAACGGACATTATGTTCCAATCTTCCAGGTCTGGATGACCGCTGGAGCTACCCCGCTCATTACACTACAAACACAGCGGTGATGTGCATACAAAAGTACCATACCCTGGCCATAGGGCGTGAGTCCATCTCTAGCTATAGGCTGAGGACGGCCATGACGTGGCTAGCGCTGATATTGTGTTGACAGCGGCCGGCGGATAGACAGGTCTAGTACGGGACCTGTGATGGGGAGACAAGGCCAGGACAATCCTTTCTGAATGGAGTGAATACAACGAGAATAGATGAGGTGATGAATGAAAATTCTGTATGGATCGTCAGAGGTCTGAGAGTGAACCATGAGATCGCAGCATTTTCATAATGGGATCGGCAAGCATCAGGGAGTATGTTTGCCAGAGATTAGTATCTCGACAACATTGGAAGAGTCTACTTCAATAGTAATCTGTACAGTGAGCTGATCCATAGTTCGGATTTGGACTCGGATATCCGGATTTACCAAAAACAACCGTCGATGATGACAGCGTGACTAAGCAGACTCGGGTCCAAAGGCCGAAGCCGGGGCGAGTTGCCCTATTCGAGTAATTCTCTCAGCAGGCTAAACCCGAAAGGGGTGCCAAGACCTGGGTTCCAGCCCTTCCTGTCAATCAGAAGCCTTAAAGAAGCAACGTCCACGCCGAAGCCGAGCCGAGACATCCCGGTAGGGTTGATCCCTATGTACCAGATTCTGTGCATAGCTCTGGATACTAAGCCTTGTCATAGAGCTATGATGGGTCTTGAGAGGAGTGTCTTGGCGGGTTTTAATTGCTGATCAAGTCATACTCATAGGTAGACTAGAAGCACAGATAATCAAGTCGCAACGAAGTAGACTACAATACCAGCATACCTACCCCTCACGATCAGAGGGGAAGCAGCGGTCTGTGATAGCCTCACCAACCACAGCTTCGTTGACTCATCCTCGCAGGGGGTCTGTTCCTGTGAGGAGACAGTGTCCATTCCGGATCGTCTGCCGTGTTATCCCGTCCTTTGGATTATCAACAGTTTTTTTTTTTTCTTTTTTTTTTCTACCTCCACATCCGACCCTTCCGTGAGCTTCCAGATCTGGTGACAAAGAAGAGTAATTAGCCCACTGCGGCGATCGCCTCACTCCTTTACTCTTAGGGTCCCCTATTATCCATGGCAGGTCATATGGCGGTTATCCGAATTAGATAGCTGCCCCCTCATGGAAAACGAGCCGGTGCAGAAAATTTTCTCTTGACTCAACTGTGCTTAACTGCTTATAAATTCAAAGGGAGCCCCGCTCGCTCAACCGGGATGTTTGCTCGTATCCTTTTCCTCTTGTCTGCGTAGGATGTCCCCATAATAGATATTCGCCCGCCTTGAAATCACCTCCTCTTTCCAGTCCGCTATCACCGCCCGATCAACGAACAAGATAATGACGGAAACACAGACCGCAACACCGGCCCTGGCGTCGTCGCGCCAGTCCGGACGCAGCTCCGAGAGCAGCAGCTCCGTGGACGTCATCGCTCAAGAGAAGCAGAAGCTAGCAGCAGCAGCAGCGGCGGCGGCAAGCTCGCCCCCCTCGACAACGGACAAAGAGCGTCCGGACCTGCACAACTCGGCTTCCCCGAAGCGGTGGAAGACCTTCTGGACCGCGTTCCGATACCTGCAGCACCTGACGCAAAAGCAGGTTGACGACTTCATGGCGTCATATGTCATCTATAACCTCGACTGGTCGGACGAGAAACAGATGATCGAGACATTGGGGCCCAACTACCAGGAGAAAGTCGGCGACTGCCTCAAAGCGTACTACGGGGTGTTGAACCACCTGTGTGCGCTGGGCGACGTGGAGAAGATGTACATCCCCCCGTTCATGAGCAAGAAGGCGACCGTGCTGGAGAACCAGCTGCTGTACGAGGAGTCGATCGCGCGCGACATCGGGCTCGGGCCCGGCGACAAGGTGTTGGATTTGGGTTGCGGCCGCGGGCGGGTGGCGGCGCACATGACGCAATTCTCCGGCGGCGCGCAGGTCACCGGCATCAACATCGATCCCAACCAGATCGCGCAGGCGCAGACGTTCAACGACAAGCGCGGGTTCAAGAACAAGTTCGTCGTGCAGGATTTCAACTCGCTGCCGCTGCCGTTCGAGGACGAGAGCTTCGACGCCTTCTACCAGATCCAGGCCCTGAGTCTGTGCAAGGACCTGGCCGCCCTCTTCCGCGAGATCTACCGCGTCGTCAAGCCCGGCGCCAAGATCTCCCTGCTCGACTGGGTCAGCCTGCCGGCGTACGACCCCTCGAATCCGGAGCATGCGGAGCTCATGCGCCGCGTCAAGCCGCTCATCGGCGCAGTCGGCACTCCCACCCCGGAGATCCTGGAGCGGGCGCTGGCCGAGGCGGGCTTCACCGTGTTGCGCTCGGACAATGCCAGCCTGGACGGGCTGCAGGCGCCGCTCATTGACACGGTGGACTTTTACTTCCGGTCCATGCGACAGGTCATCCTGGGTTTGGTCAAGGTGCACGCGCTGCCGCACCACTTCAAGACTCTGATCAACCGGCTCTGTCTGGACGGTCAGGCGTTTGTCAAGATGGACCGCATGCGCCTCTGCAGTACGAGCTACCGCATTATTGCTCAGAAGCCTTTGCGGTGATTTCTGGTCCCCTGATTTGGGAAGCGGCGCATTCTTTCACCTTTTTCATATTGTTTCATATTGTTTCATATTGCGCACGCGCCTCGCGACCAGAGCATTGGCGACAGTGGCCTCGCGGACTGGAGCCGCATCAAAGTCAACAAGTCTGCTGGCTGGATGAGACCGACGCCACAAAACCCCCTTTTGTCACGACAACGAAAAATGCTTCGCGACGATTCGCGAAAGTCTAATCTAATTTCCATCCTCAACAAACTCGGTATTGTATAGATCATCTGGAACAATCACAGAGAACCGGCATTTCAGTCAGCACGTGTCGGGGCCGGAGTCAACATGAGGAATCTCGAATCCTTCCAGGTTAGTCTGATGGACCGTTTTGACACTGGTCAGTGTGTCTTGGACTAGTCACCACGTGCGTCGTGCAGGCGAGTGCCGGTTACCCAGCTTGTCGGTTTTTGGTCTATTCTCCGTAATTTCAGGTGTTTCCCCCATAGCCACAGAGTGGCTGATAGATTTGCATTAGGGTTTCTAGCATCTTTTGCGCGTTTTGTTTTTGATTTTGATTGATGTGGATAGCCATTTTAGTTCGTCTCATGTGTTGGGCCTCAGGTTGGATACCCAGTTAGAGGGGAGTCCTTGGGGTTTACTTGGGGTTTACTCTGTATATAGATATTTAATACATGCTTTGATCAAACTGATTGAATTGTTGCCTCGGGATTGTGTCATACATTCGATATCTATCAGTATCAGTGCTCCGTACTCCGTACTCCGTACTCACATTTCTCTAAGTTTGCCGCTCCTTTTCTTCGAAGAAAATCCGGCGCGGACCCGATCCACCTCCGACGAAAACCTCAAAACTTTAAATTTCTTCTGGGTCAATGATATAATAAAATCAATAGTTGACCCAGGGGACATGACCCAGGAAACATGATCCAGGGGACGCGAATTGCTGGTCTGTAACTATCTGGGAGGAAAAGAAAGGAAAAGGACACATGCGACTGCCTGTCATGATGATCAGCTCAATGGTCAGTGCAATGGACAGAGCTCTATCTAGCTTGAGCTTGGACTTTGTAGAAGAATCAATGTGATATCAGTGCAGGACAGATGCCATGTCCATGACTCAAGAAGATCGTGCCATAGTGAGCAGGACCACCAATTGCAGTTCAGCAACCGCTGATTCTGAATCCATGGATATGCCATAACACAAGAAACAATAGTCGATTATGACTGTCAGGACAAAGCCGAGGAAGACTGAATCGAATCGAATCCCCGTCCTAAACGCCGTTCTAGAGGCTGACAAGGACCCCACCAGTTTATAAGCTTTGCACCGCAGCCATCCATTTGCGCACGTTGCGGATAACCCTGTCGCCTAGTCCTGGATTATCTGGATAGAGAGAGGCACTATTCTTTCTACTAGTATTGATTCCTGCTCTTGTATGTATGCACTATGCACTCCCTTAGCACCTCCACCAAGACATCCGATCCAGTTGTCTGGTCCACGAGGGCTCAGTCTGTCTATCTATTTACTCAATCTCTCCAGTAGGATGCTCTACTGTCGACATTTCTGACTGCTATCAGCTAACTACTCTATTTAAGTTGTGGTCTTTTCAACAACCCCTCCGCCTTGAACTGGGTCCAGTCCAGTTCCACCACCTTTGCGATCTGATGATTATCCGTCATAATTGAAGTCATAAATCACACATTGTTGACATTGGCATTCCACCGACCAGCCAGGAAGAATGGGACTCCGATTCCCAGTGTCCATCTCAGCCCCATCGATCACGCCTCGGAGATCAGCACGATCGCCCTCCTCCCACGTTGTTGTTCCACTGCTAGATTGATAGTGGCCTCAGCTTCATTAAATAAATATCCATCTCTGAAGCTGTCATCTTGACGATCATCTACAGATTCGTATACAACTGTATATACACCTACCTATCTCCCTTAGTGCTCATATATGACCACCGGCCGTCCCGCATCGCGGCCATGAGCCACCATACCGTATCCGTCTTCGATCACGACTGGCCTCTGCCTCCTCTCCCTCCATCCCGTCGCGAAAGCACAGTTTCCTCCTCAACAGGTTCATCCGGATCAGCAATCCTGGGTTCTCCGTCGTCCCTGTTCTACCACCCGCCCATCAGCCCCGCGACCACGCCGGGGACGAGGTCGAGGGTCCCATCGCTGCATGACGAGGTCACTCGGTTACAGCTCAATCCCGCCGTGACGATGTATGCTCCCTGGTCCGTTGCGAAGCGTCAATCTAACTTGCACAGATCCTTCCTGCGAAATAGCAAACTCTTCAAACTACGATACACCTACATCGACATCTGCAAAGACGCCACAGGCACCCTGCGCGGACTGGAGCTGGGGGGCGGGATAGGGCAGAATTCGCCTTTCATCCATACCTGTACGTCAGCCCCTGCATATCTCCAAACCGCAGACTAAACGATCCAGTCCACGGAACAAAACTCCCCGTGCCTCACCTCGAACACCCCAAACTCTGCGATGAACCCTCGCTGCGTATCTCCTTTCTCGAAGAGCAGACCGTCCAGAGCGCAAGCACGGTCTTCACCACCCAGCTTTCATATACCTTTGAGGACTGGCGCGGTCAGTATTTTTTAGTCTGTCTGCTCCGTCCGCTCTGCTGACCATGCACAGACTGCGTCCAGTTCCAGGAACTCATCCTCGCCGCGAAACTCGTCTTCATCGCCGGCATTGCCGAGGCGAAATCCAAGGGCCGCGGCGAGGAATGCATCAGCCAGAACCTGCGGATCCTGCGCGGGCCCAACGGGAAACAGGTCATGCTGTTTTTTGCGAACTCCCAGCGCAAAGAGCTGAAGCGATATGTGTCGATTCCTGGTATGCCTCTACCATCTTTTACATATCATCTCCCTACAGAATTATACTGTATACTGACGGTACAAGTAAATTGCATCGAGACGGTCAATCCCGGGAAGAAAGCCGGGCGGCCCGTGGTGCTGGAGCTGCAGCCGAACTTTGATATCCTGGCGCAGATGAAAGTATTGAACATCCAGTTCCTGGATGATCAGGGTATGTCATTTTCCGATGTTTGGTGTCATTTGAACCATGCTTACTAGCCACAGATCGGAAAGCCTTTTGTGCTTTTTTGACCAATCAGATGTTATAGTTGTACCATATGCAGGCTATGCCGGTTTACAGCAGAGTACCTATCTAATGTTAATGTCTGGTACCTGGAAGGCAGGCCCAAGGCACGAGGCATGAGCACAGAATTGAGGAATATAATCGCCAAGCTCGGGTGCATGCTACGGTGATTGGATATTTGGATATTTGGATCACATGGGACGTCGACCCTCATCTTAATTCATTATTTTATGTCATTGCAAGGAGTTTAGGTATTAGGTTGTCGGAAATAAATACCCTATTGTGCGTTTGATAGAGTTTGGCAAGGCAATATTACGGACTGACTTTGACTTTGACTTTAGGTACGGTGCTTGAGGGAATTTCTTTTTCTGAGTTTTGATGGTGTGTATCCGTAATAAGCGCAGTTATTATCTTCATTTTCTTCTTGTTGTTGCTTGTTACTTGTTGACAAATGATCGATAATGACAGACTGCTGGGTTGTGACTCGCTGGAAACTCCAAAATAAGTACGGTACCTAGCTCCCGGTGACCTGACCGCTGACAACCTGATCCTTCGGGTGTTTCGATTAGATCCTCACACGTGGAGGGATTAATGATTAGTACGGAGCACGGAGACGGAATACGGAGTATGTAGTAGATAGATAGATTCTGGAGTGCAGACAGCTACTAGGCACTGTTGCGAGACTACCCCACTGTCTCCCCTAGTTATCATCTATGTCTTTGTCATCGCCATTGTGTTCTAGACTGGACGACTCGCCACACGCCACAACTATGCGTACAAACGGTACAATCAGTCTTGCTTCCGGGTAGGCCAGACTCGTAATCGTTCTTGATATTAGCTGTCTCGACAGACAGACGGAGTAGATGTCTTTGTCGGTTGTTTTCACCTGAGGAGTTCATAGTGCAGACTCACTAGTCACTCGGCTCAGGGCTCGTCTAAGTATCTCCTCCGTCCTCGACTAACGCATAAACTTTTCAACTGTCAACTGCGTGTGACAAGTGGATCTCAGCGGGCCAGTTGTTGCACGACATCACCGCACGTGCAGCACCTGGCTCCTTAGGCCCGGGAGCTTAGTGATATCGAGGAGCGAGTGGAGCCAATAACATCCTGCGATGCTAACATGATATCAGTTGCGTCGATTTTGCTGCGGGCACTGCGGATTTTTCTAGTCGAGTCCGTGGCGGGCCTGGTGGGATGGGATGACTGGTTCGAGCTAGGGCAGAGCACTAGAGCTACAGAGTACCGTACCCATATTGCTTTTCATTGAGTTTATGAGGGTAAAGCGAACCCCTCAGGTGGTCAGTGCCTAGTCTACTGCCTAGCCTCGTGGGCCCATGCCTTGGCCAACTCGTTCGGTTTACGATTTTCTCTTATCTAGCCTGCATCTCTAGATCTGTGCAATGTGAAGCATCCATCATGTCGTGTGTCGATCGTTTTTGATTTTTCATCTTTCCCTTCGCTGTCATCACCATGGGTAAGATCAAGCGGCTGTATAAGACCGATCGGGCTCAGGATTTTGACCATGAGCAGGTACGTCTGTCTCCTATGTGGAGAGTCCGAGACTCTGCTGGAGGGGCCAGTGTGCTGATTGTACTCCGTACAGGACCGCCATGTCCGCATGCGACAAATCTACGAGACGATCGATAGACAAGGGTTTCAATGGATTGTCGTGTTCGTGGCCGGTGTCGGCTTCTTTCTCGACGGATACACAGTAAGTGCCGACCAGATGATCGAAGATTGACCAGAAGCTAAGTGGATAGCTCTTCGCTAGTAACATGGCCCTCCCCATGGTCAGCTACGTCTACTGGCAGAATACCGTCTCCTCCAAGAAACTCACCTACATCAACATCGCCACCCTGGCCGGTACGCTGTTCGGACAGGTCCTCTTCGGCTATCTGGCGGATCGCAACGGACGGAAGAAGATGTACGGCGTGGAGCTGATGCTGCTCATCACGTCGACCCTGGGCGTCGTCATGTCCTCGACCGGAGAGCATGGGAGCATGGATGTGTTTGCCTGGCTGGTCTGGTGGCGACTGGTGGTTGGCATTGGTGTTGGGGCGGATTATCCCCTCAGTGCCGTCATCACCTCGGAGTAGGTTCTTCTCCTGTTCCCAGGGGGACGGACGAAGCTAACGGCTTAGATTCGCTCCGGCCAAGCATCGCGCCCGCATGATGGCCAGCGTCTTCTTCATGCAACCGCTCGGTCAGATCGCCGGAAACATCGTCACCCTGATCGTCGTGGCCATCAGCAAGAACCAGACGCATGAGGACCTCACCCGCACCTTCGACATCATGTGGCGGTGGGTGGTCGGGATCGGCGTCGTGCCCGGTGTGATCGCGACCCTGTTCCGTGTCGCCATCCCCGAAACGCCTCGCTTCCTGCTCGAAATCGAGGACGACCCCGTCAAGGCCGAGTTCGACGCCACCACCCTCTTCAACGAGCCCCCGTCGCTCGACCCCGAGGACAGCTGGAGCAACCTCCCCATGCCCGCCATGTCCGTCACGAGCCAGTGCTGCTTCAGCGAAGGCCGCTCGCCCTCGCAGACCGAGATCCTCCAGCCCGCCACCCTCAACTCGCACTGGCATCTGACCAGGAAGGATCTCATCCAGTACTTCTGGACGGAAGGCAACTGGCGGACCCTCGTCGGCACCGCCCTGTCCTGGCTCCTGCTCGACTTCGGCTTCTACGGCATCGGACTCTCGAGCCCGCAGTTCCTGGCCAAAACGTGGGGAGCCCTGAACATCCACGACCCTGCGCCGGTGTGGAAAACCAACGACGACCCCAACGCCAACGTCTTCCAAATGTTCATGAACAGCTCCATCCACGCACTCGTCATCCTCAACATTGGCAGCTTTGTCGGCGGCCTCTTACTCATCCTCTGTATCCACAAGATCGACCGCACCGCCTTGCAGAAATACGGCTTCCTCGCCCTGGCTGCGCTCTTTATCGCCCTGGGGACCATGTTCATCACTGTCCAGCAAGAAGGGCCTGTGGCTGTCATTCTTTACATCATCGGACAGGCCCTTTTCAACTTCGGTAAGCTAACCTTCCCCCCCAAACGTGCAGATTGACCCAGAGACTAACAACCAGTCCCAGGCCCCAACTCAACAACATACATCATCCCCGCCGAGGTCTTCCCCACGCGCTACCGCGCCACCTGCCACGGCATCAGCGCCGGCGCCGGCAAGCTCGGCTCCATCCTCGTGCAGGTCTTCTCCTCATACTACAACTTCGGGACCGGGCCGGGCAACGAGCCCACCATCCGCCACGGCTGGATCCTGATCGTCTTCAGCGCGTGCATGATTTTCGGCGCCGCCGTGACGCATTTCTGGATCCCGCCGGTGCAGCGCGACGCCGCCGGCAAGGGCCAGTTCTGGGGCGGGAAGCACCAGTCGCTGGAGACGCTGGCGCTGGGTCGGCTCGGGTGGAGGAGCCGGTACGCGATCAAGCAGTCAGCGAGGCAGGGGCAGGGGCCGGTGCCGGCGTTTTCGTATGAGCTTCATTAATTAGACCATGGGTATAGCGGGTACCTTTCTTTCTTGTATATACTGCATTTACACCTTTACCAAAAATATTCCTCCATAGATAATAAAACTTCACATCACTGCATATTCATCCGTCGGGTTCGGAACCTCCAAGAGAGCGCTGTCCCAGCCCATACCACGAAGCTAGAATCAAGTCAGCTATAGCAAATGAGCCGGGGGCACCCACACCCACCAAAAAGTCCAGGTCACTATCTGGCGTGAACCCCATGGCGTCCCAGTCGTCGACGCCTTCCGTCGGTCTATCTCCAGCCTCCGTCGTATCGAGATACCCCTGCAGCAGCCCCGCACACGTCCGCATCACATCCACCAGCGCATCCCGAATAACTCGCATAGGGCAAGTCCCCGCACTCATCGCCTCGATCTGTCTCAGGGCTACTGACAGAATCCCATACCGCTTCATACTCGGCTTCCCGTCCGCAATGGCTTGCAGGAGATGCGCCTGGGCACGCTGGAGGGTGTGTAGGAGGGGGTGCCGCGCAGAGCGCGCAATCTCGTCCAAGAGCTCCGAGCCGGGTATGGCTGTTGACGGGTGCGGGCACCGCGCGGATTCCACCTCCAGCTGGGTGATTATTTCCAGGCATAGGGCGCTGATGATGTCGAGGGAGAGCGGGCCGCGGAATGTTCCTGCTCCCGAGGAGGAGAGGCGGGTAAAGTCGTCTGGGGGGTTGTCGGGGGTGTTGAGGAGGGAGAGGATGGTGGTGGCGGATTCGAGGCTGAGTTTGCGGGAGAGGTGGAAGCGGGGGTCGGTGAGGGAGTGGAGGGTGAATGGGCGGTGGAGGAGGAGGATGGATCGGTGGAGGTAGGTGGTGAGGTGTTTGTGGTGAAAGTCGGTCGGTTTCATCGGGTGGTTGGAGTGTTGCGCGCTGTGGGTGTGTATGAATATGGCGATGTCGTTGCAGGACGTGCTGAGCGCGGCCCCTAGTTCCAAGGCTTCATGGTATGGCAGTTCGGAGTGGACTCGGTTGATCATGCGGGCAATCTGCAATCGCGTTCGGAGAGAGTGCAGCAGCACAATCTGAACGGATGAGTCCGTGTAGTGGCCAGTTGGTTTGGGGGCCGGAGGGGTTGCAGTTGTCTCGTCGATATCTGCGTCATCAAGGTTTAGCGGATGCTCTGTGTCATAATCGTCGACCGAGATCAACGGAGGCATAAATGCATCCAGCGAGGTCTGCGTAGCCAGCTCCAGAACGGTCGCCCATAAGCGCCGTCGCATCTGACATTCGAACACAGAAAGGGACGGGAAATGTTTCGGATCTCGATGCAGTCCGAGGCTAAAGGCGAGCCGTACTAAAGATCCAGCCGAAACCCAGACTGACTCTTTGCCTAGAGTGTGCGTCTGCCGACAGAGGAGGAGAAGGCAAAAGACCTGCACTCCTTCCAAATTGGCTGCAGAGGCCTCCGAAAGTCCAGTGAGCCACCACCGTGCGGCACACACCCAACGACGCACCGACGACCTGACGGGAGCGCATTTTGTCTCGTCAGCATGAAATATGGAACCTATAGATATAACCAAGAGAAGCTTCAGTACAAAGCCACGCCGTGCTGACTCCGGATCATCCCAAAAGCAGTGGTAATCTCTCTGGAAGGATGGAACATGCAGTACGCGGTAGACCAACTCCAGAGTACGAAGATAGTGATGGACCAGCTGGTCACAGACCTCGCGGGTAGGTAGGTTTCTCAGCAGGTCCGGAACGGGATCAATCAGCTGTGGAGAGTCGCGAGCTTTGATTGTCCTGCGTAGGTTACGACATGTCTTGAACAAGTTGGTCATCTCCGCGGTTTGTACATCGTTGCTGGGTGCTGACTTGGTCGCCATGCGGACCTTGCGAATGGCGTGCAACTGTAGGTGCTCAGAATACCAGAATGAATGCTCATGTAGCGATCATACCTGCTCAAACGTGTGACTCCAACTACTTGGTCCGAACAGCTTGGTTTTATCCGCCGAAGCTCGAAGGTGCGGCAGCACTGGTGGAATACTGCATGGTTGGGAGGTCGGCTGATCGGCTGGCTGGGTGACCAGTCGCTGTTCAATGCCGAAAATACGGGCATCAAGTTCCTGCAACGATTGTGGAAAGGGTGCATTTCGTGTCGGCTGCGGTCTGGGTCCGTTTTCTCCCAGTAAGTGTTGTTCGAGCCTTTGAACACGCGCTTGGAGATCATCGAGAGTTTGTCTGAAGGGGAGGATGGAATCATCGTGCGTCCCAACAGGAGTATCCAAAATAGCAAAATCTTCCTGCGTCTCTGGAGTGGTTTTCCTTTGAGCCTCTGGCTGACCTCCTGGTCTGTAGAAACACGGCAGGGGATGTCGGGCTCTACGGCAAGGACCGCAAGGGATGGTCCGGTCGCAACGGGTCTTGCGTCGACGGCATTGCTCGCAGGACAATGCAGGTCGACGGCGTTTACGAGAAGTCGAAATACCGTTCATCGCACTTTTCCTGATGAAAAGATGCCAGGTTGTATCAGGAGCCGGTGGTTGCGAAGATGGAAGTCATCCGGACGGGTGACGAAGAGGTGGCCCAGGTCCAAGGCCGAGTCCGATGTCCGGGTTTACGTCGGGGATAAGAATAGCCGAGATTCTACGACGCTTTCAGTTTCTCACCATGAAGAATGATATCTGGATTAATTGATGTACTGAAATACTCTACTTGTGCATATTCCCTTGATTCCCTCTACAAGTTTGAGCTTGACAACAAGGTAATGGACATCATTCTGCCTGCAGACTGTGGGCTGTAGTAGGAGCGCTGCAGCCGTAGCGATGCTGCTGGTAGAGACAGCAAGATGGGAGTGTTCTTCAGGATCATTCGAAATGCTATCAAGAACGCAGTGAGGTCAAGTGCACGAGTCTTCAGAATTGCAGGTGCAATCATTTCCATAGAAGGCGCTTCCATGCACGTAGTACCCTGAACAATATGCTCTACGATGTCGACAAAAGTAATGTTTGCGCGGGTCGAGCGATTCGGATGATAGATGACTGTTCTCTTTTGGAGATTCTTAATTACTTCGTTTTCAGGAGTCGAGGTCATGGGCAGGGCTAAGCCCACGGCGGCGAAAGACATGTCCATGACATGAGAGTGTAGTATCGCCAGTCAGAAAAGGAAGGCGATGGAAAGATGTGAGAAGAAAGCTGGACAAACCTCAAGCTTCAGATTGCCTGGGATTTGAAGGAGTAATGGAACAGCAAGGGTCTCTCAATGCTGGACAATGTCAAGGAAACTAAGGTATCAGATCTTTCTACTCAGATCAGAGTATATCGCTGTATAGCTTCTATATCAGGCCGTTCAACAGCATTCTCGACTAATTGGCTCGAAAGACTATAATGCGTCTTTTCTCAATATAATTTTTCGTGATTGGCGTGATAGAGGTGATATACTACATTCTAATATGATCTAGGCATACTTCTTTCATTGTAACCTTATTTATGTAGGGTTACATAGGCAAATGCAAGCTGGCTGCGGCAACTCCATGGCGTTGATACATCAAGGCAGTACTTTAGTAGGTTCACAAAGCTCCCCCACTAAAGCTTGGTTTAAACCCTGCACTGACTGCGACTATGCATGAAGGTAGGGTCATACGACACATGCCTGCTTGCAAGACACTTCGGTCAATGTTTTAGACACTTTCACTCATATGGCCTGGAAGAAGACCAAAGACAGAACTCGATAGGTTAGTCTCCGAGGCCCCTCGTTCCACGGATATAATACCAGTAGTTAGAGATTTGGAACATCCCGTCTTCAGCTACCTGATTCTCAATAAAAGACAATCTACATCGATAACTGTTCTCCCAATATGAGACACCTCACCCAATGGCATCCCCAACACAAAGTCCCCATTGTGGACGGCAGATTTCAGGACCCAAACACTGGCGAGATCCAACAAAACACCCGTACAGATACCTATCTCGGTCCTCCTTCGGTACATGTGATGTGGTTCAACGTCCACGACAGCTCTTCATTCAGGAGTATCGGAGCCACACTCAATGCGTCGATTAACGAAGTCTTTATTGCGCTTGCGGACCATGTGAAAAACGAAGTTTATAGCATTATCAGCCTCAATGCAAGCTTGTACTCGGTGACTGTCGTCTGCTCGACTGGCAAGTCGCAGGTTGAGGTTGGAGGCGTGATACAGGATATGCAACGTCATCTGAGTAGGAATGTTGTAATTCCAGAGGAGGAACTGGCTGGTTTGAGGGCTTGGAAGGAGTCGATGGGTGATAATGATGTGGCTGCTGAGGATGAAAGAGGGCCAGCTTCTGAGTCATCTTGAAGATGCATGGCTGAATTGCTTCTCAATCTCTGCGATGACGATAAGTTCATCAAGCGTGATGGCTATCTGATGTTTGTTGGTCACCAGGACTGTCAAAAATTGGGATTGGGACGATGAATAAGTTGATCATAGGGAAAATAATCAAGAGATGAGCAGGCTTGGGACGCACAGGCAACACTATCTATATATCAGAGGGCTGAAATGATGAGGTCCGAAGAAAGCACAAGTAAAAAAAGCCGACTGCATCATCCGTGAATCGAACACGGGCCTCGTCGATGGCAACGACGAATTCTACCACTAGACCAATGATGCTACTTATTATTAAGTATTGTCAATTTACGCTCTATCAGCCTAAAACATACAGTTCTCATAGTAAGGTAGATACTTGGTATGTACCAATAAAGTTCAACTATGAGGGACTCTATGTGAAGCTGAGGAGTCTATCTGGTTAGTTCTCTTCATTGGTCAATCAACCGAGCGTTAATCTTCAATAAATGCTTAGAGAGATGTTCATTTCCTAACTATATAATATCATGTTTAACATAATCTACCACATACGACCATAGGGTGTGGAAAACAGGGCTTCCCGTCCGCTCAGCCGTACTTAAGCCACACGCCGGCCGGTTAGTAGTTGGGTGGGTGACCACCAGCGAATCCCGCCTGTTGTATGTTTTTGCTTTTTTCCCTCTTTCCATTCATTACCTATTCATTCAATTTTTTTTTTCCAAGTCAAGAGACAATCTATAACTTGCTTGATCATTAACAAGACCGTTGCTGAAGCTGCTACGATTCCCTTGATAGCAAGTTGATGACGTCTGCACCCTTCTTTCGCTTGATCTGCGCTTCCTGCTAGCAGTTTTGTCAAGGCATTGATCCATTTCATGTGGCGACTAGGGCTGTGTACAGCACCCCAGTCTGTGTGAGATCTATTTCCTGTTACTTTTGACTTGTCAACATCACGCTTGTCTACTCTCACAGCAGTAAAGACAACCAAGCTCTTTTTTGGAGATCTGGCTGTCACTTTCCGGACAGGTGTATATCTTTCTATTAATGACCTGAATCGCAGTGCTGTAGCACCTACCAGCCTAATGGCACCCACAAGCAAACGAGGCCCTAGAGTATACATAGGTTAACGCCCAGAAATAGGTGCCTATCGTACAAAGCTCCGTGATCGCATTCGATCAATGCAAACGATGATCGGGTGGATAGTTTATCGGCGCCCTGTCCAAACGGAATACAAAGCTGTTGTATCAATGCTACCCTTGCATCTCATATAATACATTTCGCTGCTGTTTCTTATTGCCGGGCAATTCCACGGCTGGTAGCTCCGCCGGAGCCATGGACATGGTCTCTGGTATGGGAGCCGGGGCTCCCTCTTGTGGGTTAGCCCTCCTGCGTCGACGCAGGAAGTAGACCGCAAATAGAAGAAGCAGAATGACAGCCGCGCCTCCAACTCCGACGCCAACGCCGATGCCGATTTTGGAGGAATTTGAACCCGACGAGGTGGATGTCGATGTGGAGGTTGCCGTGACGCCCGACGGGGCCGACTCGCCGGTCCCCGTCAGCAAGGCTGTCGCCGATGTACCGGTAGCGGTGGTTGAGGTTGTTGTCGTCGATTTCTCCCTGACGTAGAAATAAGGACTCCAGGATTTCCATCCGTACAGGGCAACTCCCGCGGTGCCGAGCTTCGCCGAGGCATCGAACAGGCCGACTTGGTATTGCGGGTTGGTGGTGTTGAAGTCTGCGGGGATCGCCCAGCTGTATTGCTCCAGGGTGCAGTTTGCGGTGTCGTTCACAACGAGTCGGTAAAGGCTGCTGCTGGTGGAGAATGAAGCGCCGGCTAGGCCGCTGGAAAGTCAGATCACATCGAACAAGACGAGAAAGGATTATAAGACCAGTGCTAACGCACCCACGATTTTGTCAATCAGGGTCCCTCCTGCACGTCCCAACGAGATATTGAGGGGTGTGTTTCCGCCATCGATCGCTCCCCACTGAAGATTGAAGGTGTCACCGGGGTGGAACTCGTTATTCTCGGAGTCGGTGAAGCCGTAGAATGTACCGGAGACGCAGTTCTCAAAGCCGTCGGTGGACATGATGGCCCTTCTGCCGGTGTGCAAAAAGCAACAGTAGTAGTACAAGTAATGGAAAATCGGTATTACAGACGGAGCATAGCAGTCTGGCTAGGACTATATACACATGCAGCCCATGAAGGGCAGGATCGGTGAGAGAGAGGATTACACTGCGAGCAAGACGATAGTAATAATAAACATTAAAGCTCCCTGTCTGCCACGCTTCTCGGGGCTTTATGCTAGGCCACTAACATGGGGGACTATGTATGCATGAAGACAGTTGGTCGGCCTCACACGCCTCAAGAAAATCCTTCTGCTGTCTTTGACAATTTGCAGGCATTATTGGATCCTTCTGTGGAGAATTTTCACTCGGCCGCAGTCTAGTCCAGCTCTTACAGCGACTATCTTTTAGTACGGTTGCTCTACTGAGTACTGATCGGTCAGTGCGAGTCTGCCAGTATTTGAACTTTGGAAAATGAAGATCGCAGTGGCTTCTTTCATTTCACTTTACTCGCATGGGGTCCTCTAAGCAGTACAAGATGTGCGAGATGTTGGGGTGATATTCAATAGTGCCGTGTGTCTGGACAAATTATAATATAGGATGTCAGAAGATCCCTAAGAGCATTGGCTTCGGGGATACTCCGTAGGTAATATTCGGTTGTTATCGATGCCTAAAATGTCAGCATCAGGCTGAGCAGCAAGAGACGGTCTGATAGCTAGTTTGCTAGCATCCAACTAGTTACGTGGACGTCCCTGACTTCCCGGTACCAAGAAACTAGCCCTAGTCAGGTCCAGCCTGGACGGGGCTCGGGACTTAGGGAGGCTGGGGAGCACATATGAACTAGATTAGTTAGCAATTAGGCGTTTCAAGCCCCTGCCTTTCAACTGCTGTCAGCCTGTCACCTATTCTAGGTATGTTCAGAGTAAACACCAGAGTCTTGGACTTCCCCTATTCTAGCGCCATAAGGCTCCGCCAAGCAGGACAACGGACTTGGTCGATCTCATTGGCCTAGTCCGGATGGGATTCCGAGCTAATAGACTAGGTAGTTATTAAAAACTGACTAGTCTACTACTAAAATGCCAGCTCCGTTTGTGTTTGAGAGAAATTGGGCTCTGCAAGCTAGACTAGACTAGTGCTTATCTAGCTCTCTGCTCTGCTGCCAGTTTTCTGATCATTTCTATTATCTTTTCTCACTTCACGTCATTCATTATTTATCTTCTCTGATGATTGAATTATAACGCTAGTTCGTTTAATTCTGTGGAAACCACTACCCTTATTTCCCAGGCTTGGTTATAGACCACATCAATGCATGCTTGGATGAGAAGCGTGAATCGATCAAGATCATGACTCGACCCGGCCAGCAGTTTCGACGACGGAACATCTTCATTGCTTTAGGCCTCGTGGCGATTGCTACATGGCTCCTTTCAGGCTCACAATCATCCCAATCCGGTGACACAACCACTGGACATGAGCAATTCTGGACGGACTTCTACCCCCTCCTGACTGCGGCGGCGCCAAACTGTGATCCGCCCTCCAGGATCGCAAACGCAGAGTCGGCCGGCTTCGACCCCAAAAACACCCAGCCGGTCGCGAATCTCTTGCAGATGACCGATGAGGATGTGACGAAAATGAAGCAGGCCCATACCACATTTGTCAAGAGTGTTCGGCAGGATCCGCCGCCCTTACACTACAAACTGGGAACACGAGGTCTGGTTTCCACGGCGGGCCCGTCATACATGCCGGTCTTGGTGATCTCGCTTCGAATGCTACGACGGACGGGCTCGGAGCTACCCATGGAGGTCTTTCTGGCGGACTGGACCGAGTACGATGGGTATACCTGCCAGGTGGTTCTACCATCTCTCAATGCGCAATGCGTCGTACTCTCGGAGATCCTGGACGCCGTCCCCGGAAGCAGGGATAAGGTCGCCAAATATCAGTACAAGCCACTGGCGATGCTCTTTTCCTCCTTCGAAGAGATCCTATTCCTCGATGCAGATGCCTTTCCTCTACAGAAACCAGAATCCATATTCTCAAATGAGCCATTCAAGTCTAGAGGCCTGGTCACGTTCCCCGACTTCTGGGGCCCAACTGCCTCGCCGCTATTCTATCAGATTGCCTCTCTGGAGCAACCAGCCCCCAACATTCGCCAATCAACCGAGTCGGGAGAGGTGTTTGTCTCCAAGAGAACCCATCTCCGAACTCTTCTGCTGTGCGCGTATTACAACTTCTGGGGTCCAAACTATTATTACCCGCTGCTTTCGCAGGGCGCAGCCGGCGAGGGCGATAAGGAGACCTTCCTCGCCGCCGCGATGGTTCTCAACGAGCCATTCTACCAAGTCAGCGAGCCAATCCGCGCTCTGGGCCGCCACAAGGCCGATGGCTTCTCCGGCTCGACCATGATCCAGTACAATCCCATTGAGGACTATGCGTTGACGCGCAAAGGGGAATGGCGCATCAGGGGCTCAGCTGCCCCGGCTCCAGCACCGTTCATTATCCACGCAAACTTTCCAAAATTCAACCCCGCAACGATCTTCCATGAGAACGGGCCGGTAATTAAAGAAGATGGCTCGTATACGCGGGCTTGGCTGGCACCAGAAGACCTGATCGAGGCGTTTGGCGCAGACGTTGAGAGGCAGTTCTGGGAGGAGATCCGCTGGACAGCTTGCGCGCTCGAGGGGAAAACAATCAGTTGGGAGGGCAAGACGGGAATCTGCGATCGGGCAACTGGGTATTGGCATCAGGTCTTTGGATAGTACGGAGTTTTCAGCAGCGAGTACAGTGCGTAAGGCAACGGTACGGATAGAGACTTGGAACGCGACTTAGCACTACTGCAGCATGATACGGCGACGGCTTCGGGACAGACTATTCGCGATATACAGCGGTGCGGTATGGCTATCCTTTCACATCAGGTAGTGCCGCCCTCGCGGCATTAGTACGGAATCTTCGACATCACCGTGGCTTATGCAAATTATTCCTGGAAACCAGACGCAGCGTCCTTGCAGCTTCGTCACAAGCATTCCTGCCTCCAAGCTTCGCCCTTAGAATCCAGATATGCCACGAACGAATTGCACGTGCGCCAACCTCGAAGGGTCGCACAATTTACCGAATTGAAGCATCGACGCTGGAACAAGCCAGCGCACTCCCCTCAGCCACTCTTCAGACAATGGCTGCCAACTCCCCATCCCCCTCGGCAGTCCCCACATCTTCGTGTCCCTCTCTCCTTCTCGACCTCTCCGATATAGCGCCAAGTGGAGTTTTGTTATCGTCACGGAATGACATGGTAGCGTCCCCCGCAATGTCAAGGATGGACACGGGGTTCTTCTCGCGGAATTCGTTCAATGCTGGTCGTGTTTCGAGGAGGGAGAGGTTTCCTGGAGAGCAGGGTATTCGATAAGAGTCATGTCGTGATGATTCTATTATGGGGGAGGTTCGAGTAGCCTTTTAGTCATGGTGATTATGCTGGGTTATATGCCTAAGGAGGTGCCGTCGGGTGTATTCAGATAGGGACCTCTGTCGAGTTTTGCTGGGAACATCTTCGCCTCGCTTGCGTCCTCTTTGGGTGCTATCGTTGCTCCTTTCAGGTCCGTTACTTCGTCTGGGTTGAAACACCCTTGTTCAGAATGAGGCAAAGACGCTTTCGGATAGCAGTATATATTGTGTGGCGTGACTCACCTGGGGGGATTGACGACCTGGATGGTAGGGCTGGGTTTGCCACTGCAGTTCATCGTATGAGATGGTTTCTTAGTCGGGTTGGGTGCACTAATCGGACCTGTATCCGATTATTGTAGTCGTTATAGCTATATTTTCCAATAGGCAGATAGTCTTTGCATTGTGTCAATTCCTCGCTTTAATTCGCTCTTTTTGAATGATCAATGAATTACATATATATATTACTTTTCACAACCAGCACACGGGCGATATCAGACCAGACTAGACTGAAATACAGCATTAGACTGAACAGGTCAAATTCTGTCATTTATGGAAATCCATAGTCTAAAGACCTTTGCTCCATGTTAAATAAGAAACAAAGACAGTCGGTTTCTGCAAATATCGATTCTCGTGTCAAGATTTAAAGGAGTCAATCCAATTGTTCATGATGTTGCACTGTGTAGAGCATGCTAATATCTAGAGCTCGCATAGCTCAGTTGGTAGAGCGCATGACTAGTAATCATGAGGTCAGCGGTTCAAATCCGCTTGTGAGCATTTCTTTTTGTATTTTTTGGTAGTCTTCTTCTTTGCTTGGGAACCATTCTCTTCTATTGGCTGACCCACCATCAATGTACATAGTGGAGTACCGCTCTATTTAACCCAGGAAGTGGTGCTCGCAATTGAGATCAAAGTATTGTCTGGTACAACATGCGCAACCACTGTGAACTAGACTTGGATTCCTGACACCTTGGACCTATCTCCAGACTCAGATGCCCGAAGACACAATGCCAACATGACAATGTCCTGTCACATCTAACCCCATCAAATGATCGCCAACTCTCGCATCTAGGCCGGCTAGCTGTCATAGAGGTGCAGCAATCACTTCCTACATGTTAGTTGCACATAACATGACTAATTAGATGACTGCCTCATTTGAAAGATGTGGAACAAACCCAGTAAATGCATATATCCCATGCAAAGTTTTCAATTGTCTGGTATATCAGGACCAGGCTTCTTGTCAAGTCGTACAGGGTATGGACCCCTGTTACAAATACGTGTCATTCTGCCCTGTCATCTCATTTCAAGAGGTTGTTGCTGTCGACATTGTCCAGACCAGCGCTGAGAAGCCTGAAGAGGGCGAGCTCTTTCCGTTTTGGGGCTTGACATTACCCCGCATTTTCTGATTACTCATTGTCAATGTGAAGGAGTGATTGCTTTCGAGTTCATATTCTCGTACACATTTTGCCTCTTTGTTCAACTTCTATTTTCCTGATACTGACAAAATGACTGTCCCCATCACTGATCTCCCCTCGAAGGATCGAATCGAGCCAAGCTCATCCTATGTCCCCATGGGAAAGTTCCCCCAAACTGCATCATCCACATCTATCGATGCTGCCAAGGTCGCCTCAGAGGTGATTGATCAGTTCAATAATGCTCTCAAACAGAAGGACTACAAGGCAGTCTCAGATCTGTTTCTTGAGGACGGCTACTGGCGGGACCATTTGGGTCTGTCGTGGGATTTCCGAACCACCAAAGGCAAAGAGAACATCGCCAGCTTCCTCGAGAATTCCGCACGGCTGGTCCAGGTTGACATTGACCAGTCATCGCCCTTCCGTGCGCCCCATGTTGGTCCAATTGATGCGTTCGGTGAGGTCACCGGTGTTGAGTTCTTCACCACCTTTGCAAACGATGTAGGGAATGGAAGGGGCGTAGTCCGCTTGGCGGAGAAGGACGGGGTCTGGAAGATCTTCACTGTCTTTACTACCCTCCAGGAGCTCAAGGGGCATGAGGAGGCCCTGAACACCCGTCGACCGCTGGGCGTGCAGCATGGCGCGCAATTAGGCAGAACGAACTGGCAGGATAGACGGACAATGGACTCGGATTTTGAAGGAAAGAGTCCCGTTGTGCTGGTCATTGGTATTTCGCCATCCCTTGGATTGACGAGGCGTTTGATGCTGACTTGACAAGGTGCCGGCCAATCTGGACTCACAGCGGCCGCTCGTCTCAAGATGCTCAATGTCGACACGTTGATCGTTGACGAAGAGGACCGCATTGGAGACAATTGGCGGCGGAGATATCACCAGCTCGTGCTGCATGACCCCGTGTGGTTCGATCACATGCCATATCTGCCGTTCCCTCCGCATTGGCCAGTATTCACCCCGAAGGACAAGCTAGCCGAGTTCTTTGAAGCCTACGCCAAGCTTCTTGAACTCAATGTGTGGACGCGAACCAAGCTCAAGTCGTCCTCCTGGAGTGATGTTAGAAAGCAGTGGACGGTCGTACTTGAAAGACGCAGAGAGGATGGCGCGGTTGAGAGCCGCACCCTTCATCCACAGCACGTCATCCAGGCTACCGGCCATTCCGGAGAGAAGAATCTACCCAAGTTCAAGGGGATGGAGTCTTTCAAGGGCGATCGTATCTGCCACAGCTCCGAATTTCCCGGAGCCAATCCCGCTTCCAAGGGCAAGAAAGCGGTGGTCGTCGGATCATGTAACTCTGGCCATGACATTGCACAGGACTTTTACGAAAAGGGATACGATGTCACCATGGTCCAGAGAAGCACAACGTGTGTTATTTCATCCGAGTCGATCGTCGAGATCGGGCTCAAGGGTCTCTACGAGGAGGCCGGACCCCCGACCGAAGACTCGGACCTGTACCTGTGGAGCATCCCGAGCGAGCTGTTCAAGGCGCAACAGCTCAAGTTGACCGCCGCTCAGAATCAACGCGATGCCGAGAAACTCGAAGCATTGGACAAGGCCGGTTTCAAGGTCGACATGGGATCGGACAACGCCGGTCTGCTGATGAAGTACCTGTCGCGGGGCGGCGGCTACTACATCGATGTGGGCGGCAGCCAGCTCATCGCGGACGGCAAGATCAAGGTCAAACAGGGCCAGGAGATCACAGAGGTCCTCCCTCATGGAGTTCAGTTCGCGGACGGCACGCATCTGGAGGCCGACGAGATCGTGTTCGCCACCGGGTATCAGAACATGAAGACGCAAGCGCGCGCCATCTTCGGCGACGAGGTCGCCGATCGCGTCGAGAGTGTCTGGGGATTTGACGAGGGAGGGGAGATGCGCACAATCTGGCGGCGGAGCGGCCATCCGGGATTCTGGTTCATGGGCGGGAATCTGGCGCTCTGCCGGTACTATTCGCGGTTGTTGGCCTTGCAGATCAAGGCCCTGGTGGAAGGTATCACGGTCTATGGAGCGAAATAGACGCATATAGACCCAGCAGAGAGTACTCGGTAGAAAACTGGAAATCTCGCATCTTTAACCATATGACCGTCATAATCGTTAATTGGCACTGATTCGTACGATGCTAACTTCAACCCAGCCAACCCTCTTGCGACGCAACCCAAACCCCCATCGTCAGAATAATTGTATAAACAGCAGTCCTGAGCTGCGCCTCGGACAGCTCAGGCTCCGTAGACGAGTCCACACCCACACCCACACCCACACACTCCCGAAGCGCATCGCGCGGCAGCCGTTCCCAACAACCCACCTGGAAGCCCCTTTTCGTAAGCGAAGCCACCCGCGCCCCCCGGCGCGTCTTCGCGTCGACGATCCCCAGCACGAATCTGGCACCGGCACCGGCCCCGAGGCCGTTCTCTCCCGGCGCCGGATCCGTCGACGACGAAGAAAACGAAATACTCCGCTTCTCCCTGCCGCTAGACCCAGCCCCCCGTTTCCTCCACTCCAGCACGTGCTGGTTCCCCCCTTCCCCGTCCTGTCCCTGAAACCGGTATCCACCCTGCCTCTTATACACCTCTGACCCTCCCGACGCTCTTCCCCGCCTCGCCTCTGCGGTCCCCCTCCTTCTCACCACACTCTAACACTCCCGTCCACATCACGCACCACTTACTCAT